GATTAGCTAATAAAAAAAATTAAAAATAATACTATAATGCAAACGTAAAGATTAGCTAATAAAAAAAATTAAAAATAATACTATTCAATAAAAGTCATCTTTCCTCCAAGGAAAATTTTTGATTAAAGCAATGGTCTCTAAGGCGGTAATCCAAATGGATTTATATTTGAATTTTAGTTGCTATATTTTAAAATTATAACGACCTCTCCATCTTATTTCGTAAGTCTTAAATTCATATTTCTTGGAAATGAAATGAAATGTGTTTTAATGTCCAGCTTTTTTTTGACCCGACTGGACTAATGAAAACGGGCATATGCCACACAATGTTCCATATGTGTGGGAAATTTTGCCCGGACAGCGACGCTACGCCCTACTCTTATATCGAATTCCAACTGCGAATGGATTTTTACGGTTTTTGCGTCCCATCCTAACGAACACATGATTTTTCTTGGAAACGTCAACATTGTAGATTTATCAGATGAAACACCGTGAGATGTATGTTTTTGCCAAGATCAACGTTTGTTGATTTCCAAGAAAAGTTTTCTATCGGTTGGGTGAAATTGCTCCTTTTTTTATTCAAGCATGCCAAAAGTACGTATCAAAAAAAAACAAACCCAAATCAAAAAGAAAACAACCAAAAAACTCAACACGATATTGACTAAAAATCATAGGCGTACGGGCTCGATGAAGGGGGGGGGGCAGAATCTGAAATGCCCGAAAAAAATTCGGGTTGCTGCCCCCCCCCCCCTACCACCACCACCCCACTACACGAACATTTGGGAAATTTGACGGCCGAAAACGCGTTTTCCTGCAATTCCAGCCAGTGAATACGGCAACTTCATCAAAGTGGTGTAATAGCCTATAACTTAGGTGGGTGACTCGAGTTCCCATCAACCAAACAATCATTTACAGTCCACGGAGAGGGGTCCATAGGCAGAAAATTTAGAAAATTTTACTGCCGCAAACACATTTACCTGCTATTCCAGTCCGTAAATACAGCAACTTCAAAGTGCTCCAATATAGCCTACTTTAGGTGGTTGACCTGAATCCCAAACAATCAATCAATCGTCGCAAGTATGGGGGCTGGAATAGCAGTAATTTCAAAGTTTCCAATCGTTTTCCAACCGAAATCCCACTCTATGCCGTTTTCAATTCCAAGCATCCAATCAGACTGTTGGAGCTGCATTCACAAATAATCGATGCCCGAAAAATGTCGCACAAAGTAGAGTACCGGTATATATAGCTCCAGACAAAATAAGATTTCTGGCACTTTATTTTGCCAACTAGATGAAATAATAATTTTTGTTTTCACTTTACCCGTCTGCCCGAAAAGTCACATTGCCCGAAAGTTGCACCCCGCCCCCGCCCCCTTGCCTCGTACGCCTATGCAATGTTCATTTCATAGTGGAATGCTGATGGTGGAAACAAATCATTCGTTTTGTAAAGAAAATCCCGACTAAACGCCTTAAGATATATAGGTCCTCCAACCAAAAAAATGAAATGAAATGGGGTTTAACGTCCTACTGTTCTGCGTCGGCTGGGCTAATGAAGACGGGCATACTCATGCAATTTTGCTATGAGGGAATTTTGTCCGGACAACGGTGCTACGGCCTACTCTTATATCGCATTCCAACCGCCAGTAATCTTTCACGTGCACGCCAATGTGTACTCGGGACCTCGGTTTTTTGTCTGATACGAACGATGCTTGTCAGACCCACCGTTCTGCAGCACTGACAAGGTGAAACTACGCCGGAAAATCATGATGAACTTTCTCGACCAACACCGGGATCGAACCCACGATCAGAGGGCTCTCGTTCTTTGGTCAAGTTGTATCATATTTTTGAAACTGTCATACGCCTTTATTTCATCAACTGTCATCTTAAAACATCCGTCACCATCCTCGGTTTTTCTCAATTTTCTTTAAAACACATTCTGACCTTCCTTTAGTCGTGGGGCGTGGGGGATTCGGGCCCCTTAAGTGAGTGGCCTAGGACCACTCTTCATATAAATCTGACACTGGGGATGGTTCACTTTAATTCATATTTATAAAAATCCCTAGAAACCAGATAGAGATTTAAGATTATAATCATAGAAGGAAGTTCTCTAATGATAATATTGTGATTAACTGAGTTATTTTGATAATAAATGAAAGACACTTCAAAATATTACTCATAAATATAGTTATCAGATTAAGATACAAGCCCTGTTGTTTTTTGGGAGATTTAGTTTTGGTTTTTAAATATCCACATTACCAAAAAAAAATAATAAAATGAAAAAAAAATGAGGAAAAAAATATAGCCTTTATTAAATGACAATTTGAATTAGAGTTTCTGCCTATTTCAGTCTCTGTGCTAATACTAATTTTTGAAGAATATTTTAAAATATTACTATTTTTGATTCCAATAAAAAAGATGTCTAACAGTGCCTTTACTTCACATCTCCTTTTCAACCCATACGATTTATTTTAAGTTTACTTCACTTTCAAGGCAACATGAAAAGGAATATAAAACTTGAAATCATATAATAAATGCATACTCGACTATTTTTACATAACAATCCCACAGTTTCTAATATATACCTTGCTCGAAAATCGGAACGCCCATTAAATAAAAAGTTCAAAAGATTCAAAACCCCACCACTGTCGCTAGCTATCCAAATGAGACCCAAAACACCCAACGACCCCATGATATTTCCGTCAATTCATCTTTCATATCAAAATCGACCCTTTAAATTCCGATCAGACATCCCCAGCGACCTCTAATTTTTTTCTCGACTCTTTGCAGTTCGTTTAAGAAAAGATGCGGTGTGTGTTCCCCATTCATCAGAACAATTTTCTCAGGATCCCGGTCACATCTCGTCCGCTAATCCTAGCAACGAAATTTCAATAACAAGTGCGCTTTTTGACAACGCGACTATTACTATTATCTTCTTATAGAATGGGCAATGAATTTATCTGCTTGTGTAAAGAGAAATAAAGAATTTCCTAGCATTCATCTTTAAAAAGTCGTTTGAGATTGATGTCACGTGTTAGTTTGTTCGTCTGCCCAGGTGTGATAAGTTAGCTGTAACTAATGACATATAAAGTCAAGATGAATCATTATAAACGGAGGTTGTAGAGGAGGCCATAGAATCAGATAATAATTGAAATAGTATGAATAAGAGAGGTTATCTTTTTATTGGCCCATGTAAATAATAGATGTTAGGATTGTGTATACATGTAGATAGAAAGGTACTACAGACTTTAAGTCATTTTAAATATCGCCCACCTATATGATGACTACATACACTTGTGATGATTTGAAGATCTGTAACCGACACATAATATCATAAACATCTGAATCACTGAATATGACACTATTTTATTTCCCACACACCCCCTACAATGGGATTTTTTTTATTAATATTTAGAGCTTCAAATATTTTTTATTTAATAAAGTATAACACATACTTATGGTAGAACAATTACCTAATTAATTTGGGTGACATTTTGGAGAGCATTCTCTAAATGTCTTTGAAACAAAGACCAAATAAATTAAACATACATTATGCAAGAGCTAAATCTACCTATTACAGGTGTTTCTTTAGGCCTAAAATGTTATATAAACTATTAATTGGACTATCCCGAATTGAACAGAGTCTCAAAATTAAAAGTCTGAGTACGTATGAAAGTTAAGCGTCAAAATATAAAGAAATGGTGTATTTACCCTGTCTCAAAATTTCAGCTCAAAATATTGAGTCATAGATTTTGGGTCAATTCTGATAATCGATTCCCGTTTCTTTAGAGGTTTATACAGTGAATGACCCATCTGCTGTACTTGATAATGAAAGGTAAATTTCACCTACACTTTATTTTTATAAATTAAAAGGCTGGTTTTATCCAGACACCGCATAATACACCTTTGGGCACCGGTACCCACTTCCAGATTAAGACTGACGGGTTTAAGTTGTTTGAAAACATATCAAGTATATTGAGTTAGTTGCTCGGCCCTAAGGTAGGGGATTTTAAGTGATTTTAACACAAAATTAACCAGTTTTATTCTCCAAAATATTATCGGGATTGGCCCTTTAAGGAGTGTAATGAAACCCCTATGAAGATAAACTTATTTGAACGGTTACCTGTAAAGGAAGCAAGATTCTGAATCTGGTTTTTAACAATTTATCATATATGTGAATTCTGTCGGTGTCGACAAATATCACATATATGATAAACTGGTTAAAAACATTCCAAATATAATTTTAACACAGAGATCTTTCCTACTGTAGATGCGTAAACAAAGATTGAAGAAATGAGAAGTGACACCAAAAAAGGAAAACTATCCTTATATATAACTGACTGAAGTAGAGAGCGATAACAGATACACAGTCGATTTTCAGTTCACTGACAATTCCTTTAAGACGAAAAGTTGTTATATAAGACTGTGAGAGGAAGATATCTGTTCGAATCTGCCAATTCATAAAAAAAGAGTAGTTTTAAAGCGATAGTTGCATTCTTTTTAAGTCATATGTTTAAAATATGTTAAAATAAAGCCTTAAAACACATGGAATCTATGCACAGACCTACCATGTTAAAGAATAAACCTGTTAATCCTATAATTCACTATTGTCAGATGAGAAATTGGCAAAAATATTTTTTTCAAGTTGAGGTTTGCCAATTCCATGTAGCAGTGTTATCATTAGAACAATATGATGTGTGAAGGTTGTCTGGGTCAACCAGGCATCTGTTTGACCACAGACATTGACAATTTCACACTGCCATTATGTAGACTTAGTTTTCTAGTGAAAAGAAATGATACAATTTCCAAGTACCGTGGGCAAGTAGAAAATATTTCAAATTTGTATTTGAATGTTTTTTGACTGCTAGAATGATTCCTATGATTCCTATTTGACAACCTCAGACCTTATTTGACAACGGCAGACCTTATGATACAGCGCGCATGTGCTAACCATTCGGCCATCACCACACCCACCCCCCCACCGGTAAATAAAAAGTTAAAACTAAATTAATAAATAAATAGAAAATTTTATCACAGTTTAAATGAAGAACTACATAAGTATATAAAATAGATGAGATTATTCATGATATGTATTAACAGCCAGAACAGTTGGAGCTTGTTTATCAATTCCAACTTTCTTCCCATTAACAACTAGCACCATAGGAGAATCAACACGAATACTTTCAAATGAGATTTTCTGTAAAGAGACAAAAAAAGAGCAATTATTAAATTATGTTAGTTTTAATATGGGAAATTAATTCTGTCTAAATTCAATGTGCTCTAATAATATTTTTTATTTCATGCTTGAAATAAAAAATCACTTATGAATAGTGAAATTTTCAGTATCTGCAAATTAAAATAAGTATTCAGTAGAAAATATGAACATTCAAGGAGCCAATGTTCAGCCCTTACGGGGCAGAGCAAGGGTCAGAGCAATTTCGTGTCCTGTGTGCACATTACCATGCACATAAAAGAACCCTTGGCAACTGAAATTCGAAACAGAAGAGGCAACAGTACTGCTGTTGAGACAAAATTTCCCTCATAGTACACTGTACAGTGTATATGCTGTCATCATAAGCCCAGTCGATGCAGAAAAGTAAGACGTTAAACCCCATTTCATTTATGATATACAAAGAACCATGGTGCCTTTTTCGTGCCATCCGAATGACTAAATACTTACTATATGTTTATGATTAACATGAATAGGTTGTAAATATGGTTCTGGTATAGCTACAGTATCACCTATCTTCATACCTCTACCTGGTGCTATATTATATACATTAACAGGATAACATGTACCTTCAGAATCTACCATACAAAATGTACTGAAATTAAACAAGTAAAATGTCATTAAACATACATTATGCAACAGCTAAATCTGCCTAATGCAGGCCTGAAATGTTATATAAACTATTAATTAGAAATTTATTAACATGACAAGACCATAATCAACCCTTGATGTCATCGGGATATCTCCAGTATTAAGTAGATTAGAACAGTTTAAACATATTTTGATTTACATGTAATTTAAAAATGGAGAAGTGAGGCTTAGCTTCAAGCAACCAGTAAGGTGGTTACAATTAATGCACACATCTTGTCAAACCTTCAAAGGCTAATATCTTTGCTCGCAATAGAGTAATTTGAATGAAATTTTCAATATATTAATTTTGCATTATCTAATTTCAAACTATTATAGCAAGAATGGATAGCTTTTTATCTAAATCTTACATAATGTATCTTTAAGCAATGTTGTATTTGTGGGGGGCCACGGAGGTTCGGTAAGTATAGTACTGGCTCACTAACCAAGATGTCCAGTGTATTGTTAAAAATATAAAGACAGTTGGAATGCAAAACAAGAGCTGGCCATAGATCCACTGTCAGGACAGGTAAAATTTCAGTCATGGGACACTGCATGGCATATGCCCATTTTCATTAGCCTCAATGGTGCCGTAAAGTAAGACATTAAACATCATTTCATTTCTCTTTGTACTATCATAAGGCCTGTCATTGAGTCAACTGGCGTGGTTTCGAATCCCTGGTTGTACGTGACAAGGAGTAGGGGCACCTGTCCAACCTCATGAGTTTTCTCCGGGTCCTCCGGTTTCCTCCCACTGCCAAAGACCCTTTTGCGCAAGCGAATTATTGAAATAAAATTAAACCATATGTTAGTCCCGAAATGACCTAGTTTGTGTCGAGTGGATGTTAAACCCCATTTGTCTCTCTCTCTCTTTGAACTATCATTTGATATAAGTTTGATACCTGTCTTCATTAGCCCAGTCAGAGCAGAACAGTAGGATGCTAAACCCAATTTCATCTCATATATAACTTTGATTCTATATCATATAATTATCCATTGTGCCAAATTTCATGTTTAAAATACAATTTATTTTTTAGCCATCTGAAAATTATGCTATGTTGGTCCTTTTCCAAGTGCATGGATGCCAGCAATAATTCAACATTATTAGTCCTAATACAAGAGCAGTACATAAGCCTCTTTTGGCTACATCTGAATAATAACAGTTTGTAGATAAAAGAGTCAATCCAGTGCTAAGATAAATATATGCTCAAGGAGTCGAACGAATACTCATGCAAAATATTTTATTATACGCAGGTTGGTGCTCGGAATTTGAATAAATAAGGTAAAAAAAAATCATCTCAGTTTAATACTTACAAAGGAACAGAATCTTCAGACATAACAGAACAGACAACTTTTCCCACAACTACAACTTCAGAATTACATTCTGCTTTAAGTTGTTTTAATTTAACAGGTTTTAATGTGACAGAATCTCCTTTTGGTCCAGTGTAAGTTCCACCACTGTATGGTCCTAAATCTTTCTCGTTGATGTGACTGATCATAGTTTGTAACTTTTTACCTTTCATTCTACCCTATAAATAAACAAATGTAATTCAAGTTTAACTTCACTGAGTAAAACTATATGTGAATATTAGATAGCTTATGTACAATGTATTATGTGAATTCTTGTAATAATATGAGAATACCAGATAAATTATGTACAATGAAATATGTGACCAATGACATCGAAATGGGTAGAAAATTGGCCATATCGAGTTATGCACATAATCACATTCAAAGCTTTATTTTGGTACCATTCCCGGCTCCATATTGTGTTCAATGACTGGGATATCACCAAATACGTCCAGGTCAATTTATGTACATTTTTATTATGAGTGCTAGCACAATACAGGTCTATGCATCTTACTACCTGTTTCGATGTGATGGGTTACATATGTGAATTTGTTACACTTGATTATGTGAAACAAAACCACTTTCGCTAAGTACTATTTGTTTGCAGTTTGATTAGAAAATAGTTTTCATCAACTTTACAACATGTTTACCTAAAATGCATGATTGTATCTATATATTTGTTTACCTTTGAATCTTTTAATTCTGAGACTTTATTTAAATATGAAATAAGTTGTTTTTCACGATCTCTGGGTTCAGACCAACTTGGATCTAATTGACTAGCTTGAGTAAATTCTTCTAATGCTAACTGGTAATCTTCTTGGTATTTATATGCCTAAAAAAAAGAAAAAAAATGTTTAAAGATACATTATAGGAGATTAGATAAAGAGCTGGCAGTTCTCACTATAATAGTTAAAAACTAGATAATGTAGAGGTAATTTGCTGAAAATTTCAGTCAAATTGATCCACTATGAACTGAGAATTAAGCGATTGAAATTTCGGCCTAGCATTGATCATCATTACTAAATGATGAATGAAAGTTGAGCAACAAATCGGATCCTAATCCAGTAAATATTGCAGGCTAGCGTTGACATTGAGAGTTGATTATGGTCTGGAAATGTCTAATTAATAATTTATATAACATTTCAGGCCTAAAGAAAGACCTGCAATAGGCAGATTTAGCTCTTGCATAATGTATATTTAATTATTTTAAATAAACACATATTTGATCACAACAGGAACACAACTTACATTTCCTCTATTGTGATGTAAATCTGAACTAGAGCTTGCTACTGTATCTTTTTCCTGAAGTTATATAAATACATTTTCTTAACAAAACTTAGGTAATTATCAATATCTCCCCTCCAACACCCCATTTCAAAAAGAATAATATACAATTACAACAGTATTGTATCAATGAGGAACTGCTTGGGTTCAGTGAGTAAGAAGCTTGCTCACTAACCAGGAGGTCTCTGGTTCGCTCCCATTGTTGAATGAGAAATGTCCTTGTGATTTTCCAGAGTGGTTTCCCCATGTCAATTGTTGTACAGGATAGAGGGCCTGATAAGGACAGTATCTAATCATTCAGATGGGACAAAAAACATTTTGAAAAGAACAATATACCACATCAACATTATTGTATCAACTAAGAGTCACTTTGGATCAGTGAGTTAAGACACTCGCTAACCAGGGGTCTTGCATTCGCTGTCTGTCGAGAAAGTTCCTTGCATTTTCCTTCCGTGGTTAACCATTGTCAGTGGTGCAGGACAGAGGGTCTGACAAGGACAGTTTTCTAGTGGTTAGAATAGAACGGAAAAGTAAGGTCCTGTGTACACATTAACGCGCATGTAAATGAACCCTAGACAGTTGAAATTCAATATAAGAGTAGGCTGTATTGCTGCTGTCCAGGCATAATTTCCCTCATATGCCCATATTCAATAGCCCAGTCGGAGCAGATAAGTAGGCTGTTAAACCTCATTTTATTGTATCAACTAACTTCATTTCCTTATGTACATTCATACATGGCACTAGAATGGATGTATATATTTAGAGCATACAAATAATTATTATTATTAGACCAGTAAAAATATAAACTTACGGCTTGTTGATAAGCACTCATACACTGTTTTAATATTTTAGGTTTCTGACCAGCCGCAAAAAACATGGAGAGATAAGCATTGCCCAAAATACCTAAAAGAACAAAAGTAATAGACACAAAAAGCATTAGTTCTACAGAATAATACAACAGGCCTTTACATTGCCAATTCCCATTAAAGCTAAATAATTTTATCTTCTTTGATTGGCATTTAGTAATTGAACAACATATAAACACAAGGTACAATTTTATGGATACACAATTACTGAGTTTAATACTAATACTAGCACCTGTTAAATGGCTGGTTTGCTTTGGATCTACCGCACTGATTTAAGAGATTTCTGCATAAATTTAGACGCATGGCTAAAAGCTAAGCTGTGTGAGTGTCATGATTGTTACTCCAATGAAAAGGAGGGTAATGCATTTTTTTTTTTAAAATGAAAATATACAATATAAAACTTACTCCAAGACAGACCATCTTGTAAATCTAATTGCACTGCTTCCTTAGCTTTTTCTACACTGTCAATAATTAACTTAGTTCTTTCTTCTGGTGATCCAGGCATCTGTCTCATAACCATTGATAAATTTCTTAAGGACACTTTATTCTTGGACTGTAACAGATAATTTTATGAAAATCAATAAAATTGCACATAGTCCTAAAAAACGTTTACAACCCAGGCCAAAACTTTCATGGTAATGTTATGTTTCCTTAACAGAAAACAATCCACGTTTTATATATAAATTTTCTGCTGATTGCTTCAATGCTGTTTTGCAATCATATATTTCTTCTTGTTTAATACCACACCAAAAGTCAAAGTTTTGCCAACAACTAGGTTAAAAAATGTAGCAAAATAAAAACTTTTTCACATAGATTTTGCAAGTTCAATAAATTAATATGACCCTAATAACTCTTCATACTTCACAAAAGTTATATTATTACTGTTCTATATTTTGCAGATTAGGACCACTTACATGATCTAATGCACCAGAAAAACAATTTTTAGCACCAGTTATGTCCCCTTTTTTCCAGAAACTTTCACCAAGCTGATTCCATCCCTCCACTTGCTTTGGATCCAATTTCACAGCTTTTGACAGTGCATCGTGTGCATCTTGGTTGAAATCAGAACCAACATTTAATGCCTTGCCTCGTAACATTGATAAAATGGCTTTATTTTTGACATGATCTGAAAAATAGTCAAAACAGATAATATCATAATTAACAAATTAACTTTGAATTGCAAATTAATCTATGCAAACAGTTTAGACCATATCTAAGCTACTTATTAAGTAAAAACAAAAAAATGGTACTACAAAAATTGACACTAGTTTCTAATACCTACCGGTATTGTACATCACTATTTAATCCTGCCAAAAAATAGACAACATACAGATCGATACCATATTGTATAAATTGCATGGATAAAGATTACTGGTACTACAAACACTTGTTCAGTAGTTTCTAATCATTTGTAGATCATTATTCAATCAAACAAATTATTCTCAGGAATACACAACATACAATTCAAATATATTGCATGGATTAAATCTAAAATAAGCTACAATAATATTCATTATAATATTATCCGTACTCTGGTTAAATAAACTGGACAAAAACATTCAGTTTAATAAAAAATATCACAGCATACCTTTTATCTCATCAAGATATTTTACTGTTTCTTCACATTTTTTCTTTACATCTGCATCTTTCTGACTTGCCTTTTCTACACCATGTCTTTCAATATAATGATCTCTAAAATTATATAACTCTGTAACAGCAGTCTACAAAGAAAAACACAAAACATAACTGGAAATAATTATTTTAGTTGTACATAACAAAATGTCAGGCACCAATTCTAATGAATTAGTATTTAACGTAATTATGACAGAGTCTTGAGACAGTCACATTATTGATCACTTAAATTTGGAAACGTAAAATAGTAAATTTTTCATTTAGTAGCCTACTATAGTCACTATAGACCTATAGTAGTAGATGATTCTAAGGACTTCCTTTGAGTTAGTTACTTTAGTAACGAATTATGAGAGTCCAGGTACTAGGACTCTCATATTTCGTTACTAGAGTAACTACCTTTGAGTAGGCTTTGTAATTATTTGATTACAAAGAATTTACAGGCCTGTAATTCCATTAATTTGGCCCCAAAAGGTACTACACATAGCTTAATAACTAACTAATCCACATTGAAATAAAAGTGAAACCATATCACATAATTCTCTGATTTTAAACAATCCAACGGCTACTCAAGATTTTATGTGGGTTTAACCTCAGTCATATGATGGATGGATACTTGTGACACTTGTGTACATAAAAAAAATGCTGCTTCGAAAATGTAAAATGCATTATGCCTATCACAAAGAGAAACTGTTTGGTGAATGTTTTAATGGTTCATACTTTATTATTTGTGACGTGAAAGTCATTTTTTAATTTTCAAAACAAAATAGCCGACATGCATGTATGTTGTTACCATTATTGGCATTATCATTCATTAGGCTTATTAATATTATGATGTGATGAAAATGATTCAGTTGCGGCTATTTTTGCTTGCACAATATAATACCGTATATACTTGCACAAAGCATCAATGAATGTCGACGCTACAATATATGCCATTTGCTCGTGAATATAATTCTGGGTCCAAACTGTCTTTGTTACTAACTTACAGATCACGATTTGACATTTCAATCATTAATCATGACATTCCTCTGGTCCATGAACACCATTTTTAATGAATTTATGGATAATTACATCAACTATTTTATCAAATTACGAAGCGGAAAGGTGCTTTGAAAAGAAGAGATATAAGATCTAACTACAAATACAAACCTCAGCTTTTGGAAGGTACTCTACAGTTGACTTTTGTGAATCTTCAAGATTTGTTTTATTTTCATCGGCCATGTTGGAAACGGGTTAACAAAAATTTGCGAATGACAATTACACAAAACGAAATTTTATATGAAGAAAAAAAAAGCATTAATGATCATGTTTAGGCTTGAAGTAGATTATTTTATTGTCTCTGTACACGAACTTAATGATAGCATTATGACTAATCGTATGCTCATTAATCCTAGTTACGTTGTTTCGTTCCGTGTTTGTTCCAAGTATATCGTTTGAGTGTAGTTTGAAAACATGGCGCTGACTTTGACTGAAGAAATTATTCGAGATCGAGTCAATTTAACTCATGAAAACCTTGGTAATATGCCATATTGTTGATTTTTTTTCCTGCCTTCCGAACACTGAATAATTGTGACTGCATATGCATAATTGTTTTGTGATCTTATTTAACGTGATATCTCAAGTATGCATACAATTTACAACAACAATAAAGATCATTGTTCATCTGTCATCACTTCAGACTTTCATGTTCAGTCATGTTTAATTTGATAGTTATACATGTTTCTCAGATACTTCAGTAATTCCATCTATATTAGTGGGGGGGGGGGGGTATGATCGATACATTCAAAGTTTGCACTATAGAGTATAAATCCTAGTTCTCTCACTGTGGCTTTATGTTTTTAATGAATTTTATTTTAGTAATTAATTAAAATTCTACTTCTACTACTACTTCTAGATCTACGTTACAAATCAACTAGAGAACATTTTGTGGATGGTGCTCTTTATATGCTGAAATGATAATAATACTGTGATTGTGAATTCAATCCGCCTGTTGTGCAAACATGCAAATAAAATTGTGTTTAATGTTGCCATCTATAAATTTGTTGGCTAGATGCTCTCAACCTTTTTTCATGATTTCCCAACCCTAAATCTTTTGTAGGCTACTTCCATGTTTTCTATATCTTTTTCATCTCTGAAAGTAGCATGTTTATTTGCCACCAACTGTCAAGGGTTCTTTTATGTGCATGCGAATTTGTACACTGGGCCTCAATTTATCATCCCCTCTAAATGACTAGACACTGTTCCTTGCCAGCCCCTTCATCCTGCACAACTGTCAAGGGGAAACCACAGCGGAAAATTCTGATGAATCTTATCGGCTAACACCAGGAGCAAACCTGAGACTGCCTGGTTAGCAAGCAAGTACCTTATAACCACTGAGCCAATGCAGCTCCCTTCTATAAATGAACCAACTGTTGAGGGGATTTTATATTAAATACTCTCTTTTCTTTTCATGCAGGCTAAATACAATTATGTTATGTGATCATACATTCATAAAATATGAAATAAATTAATTTGATGTGGTAAATACATAACGTAATTATTTGTAAACTGAAGTTATGGAAGTTACAATAATCTGGAAAAGCTGAACTGATACCAGTAGTGATATATTCAATAATTTCTTTAACACTGCTGACCTGTAAAGCTATTTTGAATGGTAGGCACTGGACAGATTTTAAAGCCTAATCCAGAAATCTCTCCTTAGTTTTAATTGGAAAGTCAAATAGTAGTGATCGGTATGCTGTGAATAGGATAATAAATTTTAGTATATTTTTTATGTTTTTCAGAGGATGTTAAAGCCTTGTCGTTACCAGGAACATATCATGAGAAATTTGTGTCCCTCGGAAAATCATTACGTAAATTTTCTCGTCTTAAAGATCTTGATTTGTCAAGAAATAACCTAGAATCGTTAAAGGTAAAGGTTCAATATAAACAATATACTGTATATTAAGAGTATCCTATTTTTCGAAAATTAATTTGGAAAAAGTGGGACATCTGTTTAATTATCTGTTAAAATTTACATTGTTATAATCAAATATACCATAAACTACCTACACCATTATTTTTAAAAATAGTGATCATTTACCAATAAAGATGCATTATGTAAGAGGTAAATCTGCCTGTTGCAAGGTTTTTTTTGGCTTCAAATGTTATATAAATTATTATTTACACATTTATTAACATGAAAGGCTTATAAATATTATAATCAATTCTCTAGACTATCGGATGAACAAGATTTAAATGGATTTATTTACCTGCTAGATATAAAAATTTAATGATAAAATGGACAATCAAGGCAAGAATTAATCTGCAGTTCTACACTGTATCTTCAAACAGTCATAACCTCGCTCAGAATAAAGTAATTTAAATGAAATGTTCAATATATTCATTTTTCATTATCTATTTTTGAACTATTAAAGGAAGGACGTTCAGCTTGATACATCTTACATAATCCATCTTTAATGTTGAATATTTTTAAGTGAACATTTCATTGAATTTCAGGGAATGGAGAATTTGAAATTTTTGGAGACATTAAATCTGTATCCTTCTCAATAAAAACTGTACCTACTAGCCATTCATGATTTGTAGTCAATTAGACACTTTGTTTACAGGACTTCTTCTCTTTGGATTTCACACATAATAGCTTTGCTGAATGAAAGGAAGACTGTATGTCAGTTTCAAACTGACATACAGGTTTAAGTTTTAAGTAGAGTCTTGATGAAACATCTTATATACATGTACCTTCCTTTTTTTATACCAGACAAAATTAAGTTTTATGTTAAACCCCCTTATTTGCTTATTAAATTCATTTGAAATTATTGTGAAAGAGCTAATATTAAATATGTCGACTCAAGACTTGATTTAAATTACATTATTTTATTGATGATCCTTATAGCAAATTATAGATATTATAACAGTATTAGTACAATGGAAGAACTGAAGCGATTAAAGTTTAATGCTAATCTGAAGGATATAGATTTACGTTTAAATCCTGTCACTAGAAACGAACCTGATTATCGATTGTATTTAATCCATATGTTACCAAATCTTCAAAAACTAGGTAACTCTTCTTTTAATTAGTCAATATTTTAATTACAATGAAACTGTCTCAACAAATTTGTAAAGAAAAATTAAATATTTTGTGGTAATGATTAAATTTATTTTTTATTTTAACGATCTAACATTTGATTTTCCACTGTTAAATATATTTTGAAAAAAACAATGTTTTATTTTGTTTGTGTAATTTTGATTTTCAAGTGGATTTGCATAATGCATTTGTTATTCTTGATAAGCCAGTCAAGCCACAGTGGCTCTGAGTCAGGTACTGGACTGCTTCCCACCCCAGATGTTGCGAGATCAATTCCTCAAGATTATTGAGCCAGGTTTTCCCTTGTCAGTGGTGCAGTACTGAGGACCTGGCAAGGACGTCGACTAGTTGTTAGGATGGGACTGAAGACAAAAGTTACCTTTAACCCATTTATGTGCACGTAAAAGAACCCTGGGCAATTAGCCCAGTGGGTGCAGAAAAGTAAGGCGTTAAAACTTAAACACCATTTCATGTCAATTCATTATTTGTTATTCTTGTCTCAATTAGATGATCGTGGTGTAAGAGATAGAGAACGTCAGGCAGCTTTAACTCACTTTAGTACAGGTCAAGCTACAGAAATGACATACCATCCATCTAATGATGAACCTCAAGAACGACAACCATTACCACGAGTTGTAGCAATAAACAAACTTGCCAAGGGGTCTACTGGTAAACAATCCATAGTTTTTTTTATACGCCAATATTTTTTTGTAAATCCAAATTAAAATAGAAAGAGAGGAAACCAAAACCGTTTGATAGGATCCAAGTTTTTTTGATGACAGCACTGTTATACTTGTATTTGGTCACCCTTTAAAAAAATCAACATAATAAATCCAATGAGATGAACAATTTTACTTTTTTACCCAAATCAAAGTGATCTTATCATATTAAGTAACATGTTGACACAAGGATGACAGATGTATGGAAGGGTTTCTAATTTTCTTAGTACCTGTATATGCTGTGTATTTATTTTTATTATTTTCAGTATTAGATGATGATGATGTAGCGGTTATTGATCTTGTATCACGCAATGATGGAGATTTAAGTAAACCTCGCCCTATAACAGGTTCTGGAAATCAAGAAACTAAAATAGTGGATTATTCTCTTCCTTGTAAGTATGACAACCAACAAATACAATATTTACTTATTACAACTGACAGATACAGCATTTACTTACTACAACCAATAAATACAATATTTACTTACTACAACCAACAAATACAATATTTACTTACAACAACTATTATTCACTTATTAAAACCAATAAATACAATATTTACTTATTACTTACTTATTACAACTAACTGACAGATACAACATTTACATTACAACCAACAAATACAATATTTACTTGTTACAACCAACAAATACAATATTTACTTATTGCAACCAACAAATACAATATTTACTTACTACAATCAACAAATACAATATTTACTTATTACAACCATCAAATACAATATTTACTTATTACAACCAACAAATACAATATTTACTTACTACAACCAACAAATACAATATTTACTTATTGCAACCAACAAATACAATATTTACTTACTACAATCAACAAATACAATATTTACTTATTACAACCAACAAATACAATATTTACTTACTACAATCAACAAATACAATATTTACTTATTACAACCAACAAATACAATATTTACTTACTACAACCAACAAATACAATATTTACTTATTACAACCAACAAATACAATATTCACTTATTACAACCAACAAATACAATATTTACTTATTACAACCAACAAATACAATATTTACTTACTACAACCAGCAAATACTATATTACAAATACAATATTTACTTACTAAAACCACAAAATACAATATTTACTACAACCAAAATATACAATATTTACTACAACCAAAAAATACAATATTTACTACAACCAACAAATACAAAATATATTTATTGCAACCAACAAATACAATATTTACTTACTACAACTATTATTCAATTACTACAACCAACATATAAAATATTTGCTATCTTTTAAGTGGTGAATTATTCCTGAGATCTGTCAGTGATTCTTGTTTCTTAATATTCTTCCATTGTTAAAGCTGAACTCCGGTTACAAAAATACCGAAATAATTAAATAAAAAAAAAGTTGCAAAAAGATGGGTTTGGTATACTGTTGGGAAACAATAGAGCAATCAGTGAAGCGTGTGTAGAGAATAAGGCCAGATGTGTACAGCTGGCTGACAAGAAACAAACTGGAAGTGAGATCGGCTAACCTTTCCAGATCATAAGCCTCCATGTCCGCCATATTTATTTCATAAATTGGAAACAAGTATGGCGGCTTGGGAGCGTTAACCTTTTTTTTATTTAATTATTTCGGTATTTTTGTAACCGGAGTTCAGCTTTAAGCAAATGTTCACATGGTCTCTAATGTTTCCATCTATGTATTTAATGAAATGTTTCTGTAAATCAATCTAATATGTATAAAATCTAAATGAATTATATTTGTAGCTTTAACTAAACTTGCTGATAAAGATAATGATAGATTAGATGTATTAGATCGAGACATGAGACCGGTGAGTACATGAATCATTTTTTTACAGGAAAAGATCCTAGACTTGTACGTGACAAGGAGTAGGATCACCTGCCCAACCTCATGTGTTTTTTCCGGGTCCTCCGGTTTCATCCCACTGCTAAAAGATTCCCTATGTGCAAGCAAATTATTGAAATGAAATTGTACCACATGTTAATCCTAAAATGACCTTGTTTGTGTTGGGTGGATGTTAAACGGTTAAACCCCGATAACCTACTTTAAGTTGATAATTTCTCCAGTTTTCTCACTTAGTACACTCATTTGTTTGCGTGTCAATTCTTGATATTTTTCATCTTCGTTGTTATGAAGTTTTACCTTTTTATTTACAGTCCACAAAATCGAATCCAAATGAACCTGAGGCAATGATCCGATTGCGTCAGAAATATCCTAATATTCCTCCGTCTGTTTTATTAGATTCTCCTGAAGACAATAAACCACTATCAAGGTACTCATTTTTTTTATGCTTGTTTAAAGATACATTATGTAAGATTTAGATAAAGAGCTGACCATTAGGGCTATAATAGCTCAAAAATAGATAATGTAGAATGAAAATATTGAAAATTTCATTCAAATTAATTCATTCTGAGCCAAGTTATCACCGTTTTTAGTTTGGCAAGATGTGTGCATAGTGGTAACCAGGGCACTAGTATATTCAAGACTTAGCCTCGCTTTCCCATTTTTAAATTAAATTTTTAAATGGTGAACCGTTCTAATCTAGTAAAAATCTCAAGTTTTTTGATTGCGAACCGTTGGTTGCTCAGTGGGTAAGACATTGGCATGCTAACCTGGAAGTCCTGTGTTCGATCCTGGTGTTGGTCAAGAAAGTTCATCAGGATTTTCTGGCATGGTTTGCCTCTGTTAGTGGTGCAGAATGGTGGGCCTGACAACGGACAAGGTATAGTTGTTCAAATCAGAGATTGGCATGCATGTAAAAGAAACCTTGACAGTTGGAATTCGATATAAGAGTGGGCCATAGCGCCACTGTCCAGGCAACATTTCCCTCATAGCACACTGTATGGTGTATGTCGTCTTCCGAACAGTAGGGCGTTAAACTACACTTCAATTTAATTTGATTGCTCAATGTTTTATAAAAAGATAAACGTGCAAGTAGTTACCGGTAATATATGCATATCTATTTATTTTGGGATATAGGCTTGGGACATAAGCCTTACTGTTGGCTTGTCTATATGGCCTTAATACAGTATTTTAAATTAAAACCCGCCTTAATTAAATGTTGTTATTAATTTTATATTTTTAAAGAGTTTGTTTACGTTATTGAAAAGGTTTATAATGTATATTTTCAGACAAGATGGTTTAACAAAGTTTGATGATGAAGAGGATGCTTATACTAAGTTTAAAAGTCATGGCTACTTTACAGCCAATCCTAATACAGGTATGATCTACCATTTTCATAACCAGTGTCTTCCTTCTCTGTCCGTTGGGTCATGGAACACTGTCTAGTCATTCAAATGGGATGTAAAACTGAGGTCCTGTGTCACGTTTACGTGCAGCCATGCATGTGAAAGAACCTTTGATAATTGAAATAAGAGTATGCCATAGTGCCGCTGTTCAGGCAGAATTTCACTCATAACACACTGCATAGTGTATGTTCGTCTTCATTAGTCTAGTCGGTGCAGAAAAGCAGGACATTAAACCCCATTTCATTTCAATACAATTCAATTCTTCTTTTACTTGAGTATAATGATCTCAGGAGAAAGAATATAATAATGTGAATATTTTTAAAACATTTAATCTGAATGTTTTCTTCAGCCTCTAAGAATCAAACAGAATTAAGGAATCCTGAAATGGACTGTGGCAATGATGCTGAAATTTACCCAGAATTTCGAGAACTACCTAAATGGTCAGCTCCCGTCAATAATCAGGAAGGTCATGTTGTCAATGGAGATAGGACCAGACATCGTCGGACAAATAGTCATCCTTCTAAAAATAATGAGGTAATGTGTAATACTTTTGGGGGCATTTTTAAATTGATTATTATCACCTTTCAGTTGGTGTTAAGAATTGCATAACATTTGAATTATTAACAATTAAATTAACAGCAAATTGGAAGTTAAATCAAGATATTAATGAATGAAGGTTTTCATTAGAATGTGTAACAGGCATAAAAATGTCCAGCTGATAATAATAGTAAATAAAAATAATTAATAGATTAATGATAATGTTTTTGTTGGGAGTTGGGTCTGTCATTAAGGCAAGTGGTGTGGTTTTGGTTGGTTGTGCATGACAAGGAGTAGGATTGCCTGTTCAACTTTGTAGGCTTTCTCCCTGAATCCTGAATTAAAATTGAATCATATGTTAATCCCGAAAAGACCTAGTTTGTGTTGAGTGGAGGTTAAACTCTCTCTCTCTCTCTCTCTCTCTCTCTCTCTCTCTCTCTCTCTCTTATTTATCTTTATGTATCAATAAAATTGTTTTAATCTGATCATTTAGATTGAACAAACATTAGAAGAACTTGGAATACCCAAACATTTTAATGGGGAGTCTCAATCTCAGGTACCAGAAAAAGAAGAATCAGTTAAAGTAAACTTAGAGAATAACCAGCTTGTTAAAGGTTTTCTCTTTAAACTCTTGGATATGGTGGATCGTTATTGGAATGGATCCAGATCTTTACACAAACATGCTAAATTCAAAGGTTAATTTTTTACGATTGAATACGCTTATGGCATAATCATAATTTTATCTATGTGTGTGTATATATATATATACTCTTGACATGGACAGTGTCTAGTTGTTCAGATAAGACAAAAAAAACAATGTCCTGTGTACATTTCGGCATTTACGTAAAAGAGCAATTAACAGTTGGAATTCGAAAAAAGAGTAGGCCGTAGTGTCCCTGTCCAGACAATATTTCCGTCATAACACACTTTATGGCCTAGTTGGTGCAGAGGAGTAGGACATTAAACCCCATTTCATTTCATATATTTATTTGTCCAAATTTTCAGACTGATGTCATGAATGAATTCACCACAACTGTCATGATTTCTATCCCAGGAATATATGTGTGACAAGGAGTAGAATCATCTGACATTAGAGTTCCCTGTTTAAACCTGCCCCTACTCTACTAAATACAGCCCTACATACATGGCAAACAATGAAATAAAGAATAGCCATATGTTGGCGTTGAAACTAATTATTATTATTATTGTTGTTTAAGCAGCTTGTGTATTAAATGTTCAGCTGAAATGATTATGAGAATTTATTTGTTTCTGTTTGTAGAACAAGCATTACCCTTGGTAGAGAAATATTTAGGCAGTGCCAAGGTTGATCAAAATATACCAGAAACCACACAAAAACAAATGGCACAGTTAAAAGAAGAAAATAGGTTACTTAGATTACAAAATGCTGATCAGAAACAATTAAAAAGTTTATCTTCTGGAGGGGAGACTGAACTTTGGGAACGTTTACATTTTTCGCAGAAAAAATTGGTAAGTATGATTATAGTAGTTGTGCCTTTTCCTAATTAAAAATTTTATGATTTTAATCATTTTGTGTTTCCATGGAAACAAATTTGACTTCGTTTGTGCTATACAAGAATGTTGGTGACTGAATCTTCTTCTTGTATCTTTTGAAATTGGTATATTATATGATAGGATTGCTTTTATATATATTTGTGTTTCTATCTACAGGATGAAATGCAGGATCAAATTATCACATTCTCAAATGAGAATAATTTATTAAAAAAACAATTAAATAAGTATGAACAAAATGGTTATAATGGTAGTGGAGGATCATCACGAGTTTCATCAAATCAAATAGGTATATATCAAGGTTCTTAATCCATTTTGAAATGGGGGGGGGGGATGGCCGAATGGTTAGCTGTATCATAAGGCCTGTCATTAAGTCAACTGGCATGGTTTCGAATCACCGGTTGTACGTGACAAGTAGTAGGGTCGCCTGTCCAACCTTGTGGGTGTTCTCTGGGTCCTCCGGTTTCCTCCCACTGCTAAAGACCCCTACGCGCAAGCGAATTATTGAAATAATTATAAGCTTCCATTCCCTTTAATATAACCAGATTTCAACAAAAATATTTCTTGGTAATTTGTTATGGAGAATGTTGTATTATGATGTATGTGATAACCACAAAAATAACAACAATTAGGTACACCTTTTGAAAATTTTCCATATTTAATTCACATATCAGCTTTAAGTTCACGTCAGTAATATTCCTGAATAAATTACTGTCTTCGTTTATTCGATAAAACGCTTGTGTTTCATCAGTTGATGATCTAAAATTTTATAATTTTTCTACAATTGCCAGTATCAGAAAATGCTGTAGCCAAAATAAACTGATACAACACCATGGCATTTCTTAATAACACAATTTGTAGGTTTTTTTCTATCACCTAACTAGTCACGATACTTGCAGAAGTTTTTATATAGATTACAATATATGCATAGGCCTCCTGATATTATGGGCCAAGAACTGGTCCCCAAATTTGCTCATCTTATTCTTCTAAAAAAAAGTCTTATGTACGATGGACATCAAACTTGGCATGCTTGTTCCTTGGACAGTTGTGCATCGATTAACAGATTTTGATTTTTGCTATGACATCACAACTCAAAGATGGCTGTTATTATCAGTTCCTGGTCTATGGAATGGTGGTGCCTGTATTGGTATAAAGAGCATTGTGTAAATTTATTGGTTTGAATAAATGTTTTAAATTTAGAGAACTAATATTTGTATCTATAAAATCACTGAAAAACTTTTACCAATGGATTTTTTTTACCATTAAATCATACAAGTCATCTAATGTTTACTATGAATGGAAACAGTTATAAAATTTACAATAGTCATTAATTAACAGGTGTTTAACTAAGTGTAAAAGATGCCACTTCTAGTGTGAAAGAGTGACTATTTCTAATATCCATCACCATTGAATACACAAACCTAACTAATAGTGGTGTATATCACTTGATTGACCATATATCATGTCTTAACACCTTAGTGACATAACACCTGCTTAATGACTACTGCATGATCCCCAAACATTTGAACTAGTAAACATACTTATAAAATGACAACTTAGATCTGTTTGTGGCGAATATTTTCATTACAGTTTAAGTTGTATCCTGAGTGAACAGGTGTTGTCATGAAAGATAGAAAAGTGAAATTATATATTATTGTAAAGAGAATGTAATTTATATATTATAGAAGACTTTCAAAGACAGAATGAAGCTTTAACGAATGAAGTGGAGGGTTTACGAGTCCGATTAAAACAATATGCCCAGTTACAAGATTTGTCTAATATGTTACAAGAAAGTCATACGTAAGTAAAATAAGAAATAAGGCTTTTCTACAGCTAACTCAGATTTTAATTAATTTTAGGAATTTAAATTAAAAGGTTTCATTGTTGTCAGATTAAAGGCTTGATGTGTCATATAGAGCTCTAGCAATCCCTTGCAAACTACAATATTGTGTAATTTTAATCTCTAGTAGGAATATCATACGAAAAAAGGATCAATTATGTTTAATATACATGTATATACAAAATTATGAAAAATTGAAATTTCAATGATGTATGCTGCTCAAGCATAAGTCGCCCCACCGTCTTTTATTTAAGATTATCTAGCGTTGGCATTTTGTTTTCTTAATTAAACGTTAAATAATCAATCTGAGTACATATTTAGCATGAATTAAGCCATGGAACATTTATATTTTTGCAAAAATGCAAATGACGCATTAAGCCTTTAATATGGTATTGGTTAATTGAAAGGTGAAATAAAGATATTGTGAAAACTGTAGTTTAGTTAATTCTAGATGTTAGCATTTCACTAGCATTTCATTCTTTTTTATTTTGACTATTTTATCTTTCAGTTCCCTGGTTCAAACAAATGAACATTTACTAAAAGAACTGGAAGAAGAACAGCATAGACATCGACATGAAGTGGAACAACTACACTGGAGTTATGATCAACTTAAAAAATCCATTAACTATTCTAGAGATCAATCTGGATTAAGACTTGAAGAACATGCCTGATTTATAGGAATATAAACTACTTTTAGACTGGAAAATTGTCTAAAGGTCCGGCTTCCATGTATGGGATTTTTTTGTATTTCCATGTGTACAGAAAAATCACTGAAAAGATTGGGGATCCCACGTAAATGGTAAATGACGTCATAAGAGAGGATTTCTCTGTATAACATGGAGCCCCCAATATTGTTTACTTTCAGTAGCTGCCTTTTTATAATGACCTAAATATCTGCTATTTGCAAGCTGAATTTGCAGCAACAAGAGCCGTTGATTGACTTAATTGAAGAGAACCTGTGTTTATATGCCAGAAAGTAAACACTCGGTAGGGCACACACATGCACACTTCACACGAGAAAAAAAACGCTGCAGAAAAGTCACTCATCGCGCAACTTTTTTTCTTTTCCCACTGAAACGCTTACATGGAAACGGTGGCATTACATTTGAATTAGATTGATATTTTCGCCGGCGGAAACACCTAACCTATTGATGCATCTGTTATGAAGAAAATATTCAAAGAAATGCAGAATAGCATGAAATATTTGTACAGGCTATTTTGTGAATATTTTGAAAGATTAGGTGATATTTTCCAATATAGAAAAATATTAAGTGATATTTTCTGGCACTAGTCTGAGAATGTGGTGTAAAATATAATCGGGTTTGTCTTTGAAATTTCTAACTTAAATATTTAACTATTATTATTTATTCCGTCCAAACACAGAAGATACATGTCTGTAATTGTATTGTAATCTCTTTTTTTATTGTCATAAATTAAAAATTATTTATGAAAAATATTTATAAACAATGTTTAGCCATAATATACATTGAAAACATTGTAATTGTTCATTCACAATTTAACATTAGTAAACTGATGACAATAAAGCGGTGGACACATTAGCTGAATCATTCCGCCGAATGGGTGGACACACTAGGCGAATCCTTTGCCCGATTCATCAGACGATTGTATCACCTTTCACGTCACATGATTAAACATGGTGGTGACCATGTCTTTAAACAATCACATGACTTCTCGATATGATTGGATGATGAGTGGTGATTGGAAAATAAATTCTACAATCGGGCGAATGCTTAGGCGGACACACTAAGCGAATCATTCGGTCACATAACAGTGGACACCCTAGGAGAAGTTTGACACTGATTGATTCAACCGAATCATTTGGCTAGTGTGTCAACCGCTTAACTTTATTATGGCAACTCAACTGAGTTTGTATGTCTCTCTTAAATGATTTAAAGAAGTATTATGAATGACACAAAGAAAATAAGTGGAACTAATTTTAAATAAAAATATATTCAAATGTTCCTTCCATTCACCTGATTATCATAAATTGAAATTAAATTGACTGTTTATTAGCATTGCAGTTTTGTTTCTGGTGTAACCGTATAGTCACCTCAAAAACCCTAATTCTACTTTAAGATGTATTTGTTTGTTACATTATTTAATATTTATTTAAATTATATATTTTTGTATAATTTTAAGCGAATAAGACTTATTTATTACAATTAATATTATAAAAGAATTGAATAAGGTATCAAAATGCACAATCAAATTTTGGTTATTTCACTAATTGACTTTCAGAACTAGTGGGGCGTAGATTTAGTATAACAACTTTGAATATAACAACTTAAGATTAAGTTTGATTATACTAGACAGAGACGAAAATGCTTTGCCTGCCTATTAGACTGGAAACTGCTGAACAAGAGTGTTTAATAACATAAAAATATTAATGCATGTCAAAGGAGGCAAGTTGCTAACTCAACATCATCCACGGTCTTGTTATCTTACCATGAAAAGATGGGCTTCTGATATCCAATATTTAAGACAAAATGTTTTCGTGCACCATTTGTAATGAAGCAACTTGATGAATGAGACTAAAAATACCCCACAGGAGAATACTGCCGGTGTAGATTGGTATAACTAAATACCAAAGACTGACATTCAATTGGGACTCTCTGCATATTTAGCTGAACATAACTGATTAGAAATTACAGTAAAAACAGAAACGATTGAATGTAAATCAATTTGTTATACATTCATAATACATTACTATAAGCGCTGCAACTTGCGACCCATTTGTTCCCTTTCTAGGTGCCAAAGAATAGCTATTTAGCTCCTTTAAACTATTCTTTATTCTGGTGTGTTGGAAACTGCTGAACAAGAGTCTTTAATAACATAAAGTACAAGTATACTATATTTATAGAGTGTGATGCATGTAATTTGATCAATAATGATGCGAATCAAAATAAAATGTCAAAATAAAAAAATGTCTAAATATAACCTACAAGTTTTTCTTTATTTGTTAAACATTCAAATCTGTTCTTACTTCTTGGCTTTATTTTTTCGTAAAATGTATAATGTGATGCATTAAAATTTCACATTATATTCATGTAGACTAACTGTATAGTATCCCTAAAAGATAATCTCTCTCCATATATATGATATCCATAGTTTATTATTATGATTTTTTCCAATGCATTTAGTTGTATGTTTGGGGAGGGGGGGGCAGCTGGAGTCTTCCAATATTATATGATTTTAGGTTTGAAAATCATTTTCGGGCAGTAGTCACAGTTTTTTGGGGGGCAAAAATACTTTGTCCATATTCAGCGATTAATAAATCTTTCTACAACCCTTGTAATATGTTAATATAACGTCCTGTACGTTAGCTCTGAGGTTATCGTAATAATAATCTGCGCCCCCAACTCCTAAACTGCAAAATCACTACTATATATAACATAAACCTAAAAAAGCTTTGTGTAGTCACTCTTGCCTAGCCAGCTGTTTAAAAATTTCTTTATCCGCACTCGGTTACAAATAAATGAAGTTGCATGAAATTTATCAAACACATTTAACTTTTACTCTAAACTGGACTAGACTCTAATTGGTATCTTTTAAAGATTTTTTTTTTTTTTTTTTTTTTATATTTGCAGTCAAGGGGACATAACTGCTTTTAATATTGTTCGATCCATGGTCAATTCCTGTATAGTTCCAATTGACTGAACCGGAAGTGGCATGTGCAGCGCGAAGAAAACAAACGAGTTAAGAACGTCAACAATGTAGACTTCTTCCTTAAAAAGCAGTTGAGTGACATAAAAATAAATAAATATGCTATATTAACGTGGTAGGGTATCAAGTTCCAGCCATATTCCTAATCTTGTTTGAAAATGAGTGGTAAAAGTCAAGTAAAATTTTGGAAACCAGGTAAACGCTAAATTAAAAGTAGAAATATTTATTTTAATTAATCATAATCATTTTCACCTATATCAGGCTTCAGAGAGTCCCTAGGGGGTTGGATGGCTGAATGGTTGCACGTGCGCGTTGTATCATAAAGTCTGTCATTGAGTCATCTGGAGTGGTTTCGATTCCCCGGTTGTACGTGACAAGGACTGAAGGAGTAGGGTCGCCTGTCCAACCTCGTGGGTTTTCTCCGGGTCCTCTGGTTTCCTCCCACTGCTAGAGACCCCTACGCGCAAGAAAATTATGGAAATAAAATTGAACCATTTGTTAGTCCCGAAATGACCTAGTTTGTGTCGTGTGTCGAGTGGACGTTAAACCCCATTTCTCTCTCTCTTGAGAGAGAGAGTCCCAACATTTTAACTACCGGGTAATAGTAGTCATTTTTTATCATCTGGGAGCCTCTGTGTCTCAGTGAGTAAAGGGTCTTGGGTTCGTTAGTGTTGGGCAAGAAAGTTCCTCAGGATTTTCCAGTGTGATTTACCCTTGTTTGCAGGTCCTGTGTCCTCAATGGCGTGTACATGAAAAAAAACCTTGACATTTGGAATTTCGAGTAAAAGTAGGCAGTACCATTGTTGTTGTCCAAGCAAACTTTCCTTCACCTACTGCATGACATGCTGTCATGGGTGGCTCAGTGGGTGAGACGCTGGCTCACTAATAACCAGGTTTCAGGTTTGCTCCTGGTGTTAGCCGAGAAAGTTCCTCAGGATATTACGCCATGGTTTTCTCTTGTCAGCTTTCTCTAAGGTCCTGTGTACACATTGGTGTTTATGTAAAAAAATTCTTGACGGTTGGAATTCGAATAAAGTTTGATCTGTGGCACTGCTGTCACGGCAAAATTTACCACCTTCATTAGCCCAGTCGGTGCAGTAAATTACGACGTTAAACCCAATTTTATTTCGTTTAGCTGAATATGTCTGATGCACTCTGTTTATTTGACATAAATGTACGGTAAGTCAAGTATCAAAATCCATGCACTGACAGAGCTGCAATATGTATGATATGTGAATCTTGGCATCATTCTGATTCTTTCAATAAAGCCTATTGGCTAATTTGATTTAGAATTTTGGGATTAAGTCCCATCACAATTTTAAAAAAATGTGAAAATACAATTGGAATTTTTAAATAAGGAGCTGATCAACCAGGCAGTCATCTTAAAGAAGAAAGAAAATCAGAAGATAATGTTGAATCAACCACAGTTGTATATAATCCTTTACGCAACTTGACAATTGATCAACAAAGACTCAAACTTCCAGTGTTTCAGGTATATATAACAACTTCTATGAAAACTTATTTTAAAAGGGTATAAGTGGGACCTCTTTGGTTATCAGTGATTCATTACTGATTGAGTAAGGTGCTAACAAGGTCTCGGGTTTGCTCTTACATTTTGACTGAGAGATTTCCTTTGGATTTTCCTGCATGATTTTCACTCCCATCCCAACGACTATATGTTGTCCCTTGCCAGGATCTCTGAAATGCAACACTGAATGGGGGAACCAAACCGCAAAATCCTGGAGAACTTTTAAGGCCAACGCAGGGATCAAACACATGACCGTCAGATTACTGACTGAGCCACCACAGCTCCAAGTATTCTGAATTATTTTAACTTTATATAGAGTGTTCACTTGCATGGAACTGTGCACTGTATAAATGGGTATACTGTTATTATTATCTTCCAATTAAGCTGGTTAATATATGCATGTACCATATGTTTATCTTCAGGGACCATATGTTTATCTTCAGGGACCTGTTTTGCGAAATTTTAACTAAGATAAAATCCAAATATTAGTAATTTGATTGGATAATTTTAGATTGATTTTAGTGCTTAGCCAATCAAAATTGAAGTATCTACTAAAATTTGGACTTTATCTTTAGTTAAGATTTCGAGAAACAGGGCCCTGGTAAACATCATCTATAATTTTTGAATGGCATTTAGCGATTGAACATGATATAATAAAACACAGTTCTATGGATAACAATCACTATGTTATATATATACGACATTTCGACAAGATTTTATTGGAATTTATCAAGCATACCAGTGAAATCTTGTCGAAACGTCGTGTGTATATAATATAGTGATTGTTATCCATAGAACTGTGTTGTGTTATAAACACCGTCTCTTTTTCACAATTCTTAAATCAGCACTTTGCAGAGTAAATTTTTCTTTGATGACATATTATATGACCTCTTTTTTTCCCTCGAACAAATTAAAGTTTGATGATTTTATATTTCAGCATCGTAATAATATATTATATCTAGTAGAGAAATATCAGACTGTTGTTATTATTGGTGAAACAGGATGTGGAAAAAGTACTCAAATACCTCAGGTAACCAATGCTTTAACACCATTCTGCTCTGTATGTGTTGCTTTATATTTTTAAAAGATTTATATTTTAAAGTCTTTTATGTGGTGCTTTATTGTCTGAAATTAAGGCTTTTTGGGAAGATTTTTCTAGAATTATATAATCATTGTTTAAAGTTGTTATTTAAAGCTGTATATTTGGAAATATTTTTCAAAAATTACATAATTATTAGTTTGTTTTTAATGTTTCTCCATAATTATATAATTATGGTTTAAAACAGTTAATTATAATTGTTTATGAATTAAGCTTGAGAAAGTTGATAAACATTGCTGATAGTTGCTACATTCCTTTAAAATAAATATGCATATATAGAGAGATCAAAGGAGAAATATTTTTTTGCAAGGTGTTTTAACTATTGGATTATTTTTGGTCATATGGATTAACAAGTGCATTTTAGACCATAATGCCTGTCATTGTGCCAAGTGTTGTGGTTTCCATTCCCCGTCCATCCAATCTCAAGAGCTTTCTCCGGGTCCTCCAGTATGTTAGTCCCAAAATGGCTTAGTTTATGTCGACTGGACATTAAACCCCATTTCTTTCTCTCATATTTTATCAGTACCTGTTGGAAGCTGGATGGGCAAAAGAAGGACATGTAATTTGTGTAACACAACCAAGAAGAGTGGCTGCTGTTTCTGTAAGTTATTGATTGATTGTTGTTCTTTAAATCCTCTGATCATTATTTGGATGTTTCTAACAATATCTATTTGTCCACAGCTTAATCCATGCTAAAATGTACTCATTGATTATTCAACATTTAAATAAGTACACAGAACTAGAGTATCAACCGTAGATAATATCCCAGCTTGGATTCAATTGAATTAAAAAGATTTTACCCAATATTAATAAGTTGAGTTTGCTTGCATATATCCTTTGCAGAGAATGTCATATTTTCAATTTCTTTTTTCTTTATGAATAGTGAATGGAATTAATGTTCTTTTAAAGATACTTTCCTGCATACACACTGTGTGATTTAACTATAAACATATTCAAACTAATTAATTTATCAAAAATTGCTTCAAATCCCTCTCAAAACTTTGTATTCGCTGGGAGATACCGCAAGCCATGGTTGAGGGAGGGACCATTTTTCAGAATGTATTTTTCATTTCTTACTATTCATTTACCATACATATTGAGGCCTAAGTAGATTCTTAATTATTTTCTGTTGACTTCAATTTCTGCCGTTTAATTACAGAGTCTTTTGAACATTGACACCCCTGAATGTTCCCCAAACTGCATAACCATTTGATCAAGAAAAAACAACTGCTCCCTCTGTCAAGCTAGCACACAAAAAGCTGGCAAACAACAATTGGGTTGCCAGTTAGTGATACCCTGATATTTTTGCCCAGTGCTTGTCCCGTGTTGTTTTTTTTTGGGTAATCCAGTATTTTTCGAGAAAGACTGGGTGTCTATACTATCCATATATTCCAAATTTGCCATACTTTTATTGGAAATAACCACCCAATAAATACTTTCGGGACAATATATCTTTAAGAGATTCAATCCTCACAATATTGTAGTTTGCAAGGGATTAAAAATCCCCCAAATGATTACCTGCAGTTTTAATGAACATTACTCGACATCTCAACTGAATGGAGCATCATATATTTTACTAATTTATTTAGAAATTTAGATGTTTTATTCTGCAGTGTAATCCTATAGAGACTAAACTTCATTTCACAATTTTCGCATGTTTATTTTTTTCTTACTATTTGTTTAGTGTTGCAATTGTATCACATATAAATATTATACTTTTATTTGTAAGATATATCATTATATATATTTGAAAGGTATGTACAAGAGTAGCAGAAGAAAGAGGTTGTTTACTTGGTGAAGAAGTTGGATATTTAATAAGATTTGATGATTGTACAGATCCAACCAATACTCGAATGAAGGTTGGTCTCATTATTTATTGAACCATTTGAAATAAATACTTGTTTACTTTATGCAGAACTACCTACTATAACATCACTACTTTCACTTTTAAATTAAACAAACTATATCAATTAAACATAACTTATGTCTAAAAACCGTTTATAATTAAGAAAATGAAACTGAAATTGTGGTCACCTAAATACAACCAGTGAATACAGTGTCTATCTTGTTATAATATTATATTTTGGTTTTATTTATTAGTCTCTCAACGTCTGGTGTAGTTTCTATTGGACACCACTGTATATAATATAGCTGATCTACCAGTATATATATTGTTATATTCAAATTTTATGTGATTATGTTAAGATTCTAAGACCAATTCAATTCTACAATTTTCTACTTTCAGTTTTTAACAGATGGGATGTTAATCAGAGAGATCATGCAAGATCCTTTACTATCAAAATACAGGTTGTTAAACATTTACAACACTTTACTCATTTAATAAACATGACAACTAGAGAACTTTGTTTCTGGTTTTAGAGAGAGAGACAAATAGGGTGTAACCTCTATGTGACACAAACTAGGTTCAAGTTTATTTAAATAATTCATTTGCACGTAGGGGTCTTCAGCTGTGGGTAGGGTGCCCCGTGGTCGAAACTTTTCCCTACTAAAAGTTGTACTCGACACGTTGAATGTGCATGCTTCAGTGACGTAACTCTAATTGATTTCAGACGAGTCTCGGGCTCTCTTTGTGTCTATAAATAGCCACAGCACGTGAAATTCTCAACACTTGTAATAACTATTATAGACTTAAAAAATCTATTGTTGACGATTCTGAATAGCAGTAATATTTAGCTTTTTGTTTATTACTGCAGCTTTAGAAATTACGCTCGTTTTATTTTTTAAGTTGCTTTATCATTAACTAGACCGTTAGGAGTGGCATCTTTTGGTTTAGTACAAATAATATCTCTGAATAACGCGGGTTGGGCAGGAAACTGATACTAGCAGTAGTTTCATTTTACTTTTACAAGGTTCTCAAAACAATTGTGTCACCCACCGGGCGTTATTTCTAAATTCAATTTTTTGTTCTAGCTTTCCATCATGTTTCGTAAAAAAGTAATCTTGATTATCCCGGCCTGTCAATCAGACGGAGAATGGTCGATAGACTGGTTAAGTGAGACTAATTTCAAAACAAGGGCACGTAACCTATTTTTTGCTCAAAAGTGTCTGGATGTCATGGACGACACTCTGAACCATTTTTCAGTGTATTATTTATAGATGGTTAAATGGTCATATCTTATTAAGTACAACATGACCGTCTATTTAGTGACTATAATTGTGCGAAACTGATTTAAAGCTTAGTATATATATAAGTATTGTGGTGTAATTGTTGAGATATTTGGAGATATTTATTTATGGTAGGGCACCCTACTGTGGGAGGAAATCGGATGACCAGGAGAAAACCAACAATGTTGGACAGGCAACCTTGCACCCTAATCCTTGTCATGTACAAGTGTAGACCCGAAACCACACCACTTGACTCAATGACAGATCTTATGATTGTAAGCACATTTGTAATGTTGTATAGCCATATATTATTATTGTGGTCTGTATCCTGCTACTAAGGATACATGATTTATCTCCCTTACATATTGCCTGTTGTAAGACTGGATAACTTGTATGTTTAGGAGTGAGCTCCCCTGAGAGGAAGTGAATAAACATGTGCCTAGTAAAGAAGTCTTTTGTTTCTATAATTGTGTTCCAATGAAAATATATGAATACGTGTGGGTTTGACAATACACAACATGGTGGAGATGCCAAAAAGTTCCCCAACATAAGTATTTGACGCTGATTTTTATTGGATGGCTGATTTTCACTCCGATTTTCATGGATTGAATTGAGATTAATTGTGTTCCATTAGGTACCAGTGATTTCTGTGTGAGAAATGTCAGACTTTCAAACTACTAATTAGTGGTTGAGACTATTTCGAAGATCAACTTGAAAACTTAGTAACTACAATAGTTTACTCTAGCTAACATTAGCTGATTGGATTTTATTATTACTTGTGATTTGTCGCAGCATTATTCTTAGTATAGTATGCCTACTATAGCCACCATAGATAGGTCTAACCTACAGTAGAGTGGGGTAACATTTTAAATGTAGTGCAGTGGCCTTTTATTTCAACCTGTGTTGATCTCCTGTATACAGCAACTCGATCATAACCATTAATACAGATAATCTGATTGAGTGATTAGCTAAGTTTTTCAACATTGCTTGTAACTGAATTGTTTAACTTTGACAGTCCTCCATTGGATATGTGTTTGACCGTTTTAAGCAGTGTGTAAAGGACTTGTGGAAGCCGTCCATTTCAAAGAACAGTTCCAATTGTTTTTTTACCAGCCAGGACATTCATTGCAATTTCACTGTAACCTACATGTGATTACAGACTTTAAAATTTGTTCTTTTGTAAATTCTAGCTAAATAACAAATATTATATATATAATAGACAGTTTTGTATTGTTTTCATTTGAACTATTAATTGGGTTCCTCGATTTATTTCATCTATGACATTTACAAACCTAATAATTAGTAATATTGTCAGATAATTTTTATATCAAGTGTAACACTTTTGATAGGTCATTTTTTTGGATTTTCATTCTAGTAATTTCATTTTTGTGAAACTGTTAAAGTTTCTAAATATATATACATGTAATTGGTAAATACTGTTACTATTACTATTTAAATCACATGATTAATCATTTTTTTGCCTTTCAGCTTCCTACCATCCTTTTGACGTTGATCAATTTACGTAAACTTTAGTTAGTTATTCATTATGGAGAAAATGATCGATCGATTCGATGGCAATATTATTGATAGGGACAATGCTAGGGCCCACACATTAAGCTTTGAGGACTATCTATATCAAACGGACATATCGCCCGAGGATGGAGATTTGGAACATGTAGTTCGCCTTTTTAAACAGTCACTGAAGGGTTCTGCTCGGTTATGGGTTGAAAACCGTGATTTCGATTCATATGCTAGTCTAAAAGAACAGTTTATCAATAAGTTTTCTCCTACCAAGACTACTCTGGGTTTGTTTTCGCAATATTCTAGCTTACAGTATGACTGTTCTCTTTCTCCAATTGATAATCTAGAGAGGATTACAAAACTAGCTTCACAGTTGGATTATAATGCTTCTCAAATCCGAGATAAGTTTATATCAGTTCTACCTAATAATTGTAAGCAGTCAGTCATCATGGTCAGTTCTGATGACACACCAGTAGAGATCCTTGCTGCTAAGGCCCAGCGATACTTTGATGTCAGTTCCAGTGTTCCCTCTTCAACAGTGAAAGAAGTATCCTTCAGTATGTCTGAATTACAGGATGAGGTCTCAAATTTAACATTGGATTTGAGTACTCCTTCCCCATACACCGATAGTTCTGTCAGGAAGGTCCAGTCAGACCGTCGACTACATAGATCCCCATCAACAGACAGAAACGTTTCTCAATCTAGGTCTCATCGATCTCAATCACCACATAATTCTCGTTCATTTTATAGGACTCAATCACCTCTTAGGGATCACTCTACTTTCCGCAATAGATCACCGTATCCTTATAATTCTCAATCTAGGTTTCATCGCTCTCAATCACCACATAATTCTCGTTCATTTTATAGGACTCAATCACCTCTTAGGGATCAATCTACTTTCCGCAATAGATCACCGTATCCTTATAATTCTCGTTCATCATATAGAACACAATTTCCTTCTAAGCATCGGTCTGAAACTCAATCTCCTCATCCATCCAGACCACGTGTCATATTTTGTGATTATTGTCTTTATCCTGGCCATACTTGGCAGTTTTGTTACGTTCGTCAAGAGCATCTTTCTCATCGACAGTTGTCACAGAACGAGCCTACCCATCCAAATGGTCCTACCATATCTCGTCAGGATTTTTGAATTCGGGAACATTTGATAATCATGCTCCACAAATGTTCCCCAATTCCAATTTTGTAACAAAAGCCATTTCTGCAAATGCGGACCAAGACGTTATTGTTCAGTTAAATCGTTCTAACTTTTGTAAAGGTGTTTTACCTGATAAGAAATCAGTTATTATTTTGTTTGACAGTGGTGCATCCAAGTCTTTAGTATCACAGTCTGTTATTAACTCATCTTCATATCTGTCAAGTCTTTCTGTACATACGTTGGAAAATAGTTTAAATTTTCGTATGGGTAATGGTCAAATATTGACTTGCTTTTCGTTCATGATGGTTAAAATTTTTATACAAGGCTCTTGTTTTAATGTTAAAGTTCATATTGCCCCACATTTAGTTGGTATTGATTTAATCTTTGGTCAAGAAACCCTGTCAGAGTTAAAAGGGTCTTTACAATTTGATACAAATCAATTTCATTGCAAGTCTAAGGAAGTATCATTTACTCCGACCCACAGTGTTTATATTCGCCCTGGCCATACACGTTATGTAACCTTATATGGTAACGTGCCATCTATATACCGGAATCGTGAAGTTCTTCTTAAGAAAGTGTCAAAGGCACCATCTTCCTCGTTTATATTAGCAACATTGCAACGCAATAAAACCGTCGTACCTATATCTAATCCCGGTAAGAAGACTCTTCATCTTAGACCTTCTCATCATTTATTTTATTTTAACACTGACAATCTCTTTTTATGTGATTCATCAGATTTTGTGCACCATTCACAACAAATTTCTCATCATTCTCAGAGTACTCTTTCACCTCATAAACCTGAGTTAGAGATTCTTAAGCAGACTATCAATTTGTCTGACGGTTGTATCTTGTCGCCTACTCAGAGAGAGGAGTTTCTGGAGCTTCTAACTAAACATAAGGATGCCTTTAGTTTGTACGGCGAGATAGGTCACTGTCCAAATTTAGAAGTAGATATAGAAGTCACTGATTCGCGTCCATTTTATATTCGTCCATATCACACAAATGAAAGCGATAAACAAGTTATTGATGCAGAACTTGAAAAATTAGTCAAGCAAGGTATTATAGCCGAGGGTCATCAATCTTATACCTCTCCGATATTGGTATTGCCCAAGAAAGGCAGCACTGAGAAACGCGTTGTCGTCGATTTTCGTCATTTAAACAACCGCATTAAAAGGTATAATCATCCCTTCCCTTTACTGGCTTCAACATTACAGCGGATAGGTAATGCCTCTCCCAAAGTTCTCAGTTGTTTGGATTTAAAATCTGCCTTTTTCTCTTTGCCCCTTGCCCCTCATGCCCAACAATATACTGGAATCTCATCATATCATGGCGGTCGACATTTCTATTTTAAAAGGCTAACCCAGGGCCTAAGTGTCTCGCCTGCCATTTTCCAGACAAAAATGGATAAAATCCTATCTGAAGTTCCTGACAGCCGCCATTACTGCATTGCACACCATGATGATATTATTATCTTTAGTAAAGATGCCCAGGATCATAGTAAGCATCTTCAGTCAGTCTTCAAAGCACTGATAGATAATGGTTTAAAGATTTCCCCTGGTAAATGCTCATTCTTCAGGCGTGAGGTCGTCTATATGGGCCACGTCATAAAGGTAAATGATGATGGACTTGTAATTCTGAAGGCTTTAGCAGATCGTTGTCAGTCTATTCAGCATCTCATCCGTCCTAAGTCCAGTAAAGAGGTACGTCGATTCATAGGAGCTGTAAACTACGTATCCAATTTTCTTCCTAGATTACAAGAAGTAATGCAACCTCTCCATAGCATTTCATCAAAAAAGTCCAAGTTTGCATGGTCCAATGTACATGAAGAGGCCTTTCAGAAAGTTAAATCTCTGTTAACTACACCACCAGTTTTGTATCTTCCAACGGCAACAGGTCATCTTACTCTCTATAGCGATACAAGCCGTTCTGCAACTGGCTCATATTTGACACAAGTCATTAATGGCAAGGAAAGGATCTTAGGTTATTACTCAAAGAAATTACCTCCAGCATGTGCCAATTACAGTGTCACTGAACTAGAAATGTTTGGTTTGCTAATAAACATCACCCATTTTCAGTACCTTCTCCAAGGAGTAGAATTCACTGCTGTCGTGGATCATTCTGCCATTGTACACATTCTCCGTTCTAAGAAAGAACCTTGTACTCAACGCCTTAAGAGGATTATCATCAAGCTTTCGCAATATTCCTTCCAAACATGTTATAAAAAAGGTACAGAGATGGTATTAGCTGATTTTTTGTCCAGGAGCTCCACTGATACTCATGATTGTGAAATTGATCAAGTGGTCCCCACAGCCTTTGCCTTTTCAGACTTTGCTTTTCCCATTCTCTCGCCAGTTAATCGACCTGTTACTCGTCGATATGCAAAGGAACAACAAATACCTATCCCAGATCTGTTTCCCAAATCTAAAGCTTCCTCAACTGTTTGCATACCATCTTCAGTATCTCAAGAAGATATACCTCCAACCACTCCTACGTCTGATTTCAACCCAGATTCAGAATCATTTGATAACCAGTCTCAGGCACAGATCCCACATAAGAATGTTTCCAACCAGGTTATCAACCCCGCTAAACCATCAAAGCCCCCTTCTTCGACTAACGTGCCCACTCACCAAAATACAACCTATTTGGGTAAACACAGACCAGTAGTATCCACAACAGAAACTCGTCCCGAGGAGCGTCTTGTTGACAAACCTGAGGATGGAATCGATGACTCAATTCCGATAGACTTGTGTATTCCTCCCAAACCCCTACTTCACAATTGTGAAAAGGTTGTTTCTTCTCATTTTCCAAAGCAAGCTGAACTGACCAAACTCTATAATGTTATTAAGCGTAAGATAATCAGAGATTACAACTTACCTTTTGATCAGAATAAACTTCGCTTAGAACAGGAAACATCTCCTTATTTCAAACAGGTTTATGACTATCTGGCACATGATATCTTGCCTAGCAATCGTAAAGCTGCTAAACGTTTAAAACTACAGTCAGAGGAGTATATTTTAGCAGAACAGCTTTTATTTCGCCTCCTGGTACATGATGATGATCGCTTTACTCTTCAGTTAGCCGTTCCGGAATCAATGTGTAATGGCTTAATCCATCAGTATCATGATAGCCAGTTATGCAATCATCAAGGTGTTGTTCGTACCTATTTAACCCTACGGAAGTTATTCTATTTTCCAAACATGTTTCAGCGAATTACACAGTATGTCAATACATGTTCAACCTGCCAACAATTCAAGCCCAAAACTGATACAGCCAGAGTTTTTCATCCTCGAATCCCTGAGGAATATAATGTTTTCAGCAAATTAAGCATTGATTTTAAGTCTATGCCCACATCAGTTTCTGGTTTCAAACATCTTCTTGTTGTATGCGATGAGATAACACGTTTTGTTATTTGTGTTCCTACAAAGTCTGTCGATGCAGAAACAGTTTGCGAAGCTTTAATTCAGAAGGTTGTTTGCCTATTTGGTCCTCCATCAGTTATCATATCTGATGCTGCTTCAAGTTTCACTGGAAAACTAGTGTCTTCACTCTGCACAGCCCTTGGTATTAGTCAGAAAGTGATTAGTGTTGCCAATCATGGTAGCCTTCTAGTCGAACGACACATCAGGTCAATTTCAGACTTCTTAAAGGTCAACTTAAATCAATATGGAACCGATTGGGTCAGATACGTGTCTACGTGCTGCTATGCATACAACTCCTTTTCTTCATCACGATTAGGTAGTTTTTGTCCTTACGAATTAGTGTTTGGTCGTAAACCGAAAAATCTTACTCATCTCAATTGGCAATTTGATGGCATTTGTCGCTCCTATTCGGATTATATTTCCCAATTGAAGGACAGATTTGATCATATGTCGAAGACCATAATGGATCTCCAGAAACGTCAGCAGGAATCACAAAACATAAGTGTTGCTCATAATCTGAGTAAGAATCCTGTTTACGGATTGGGTCAGCTGGTTTATGTTCTCAAGCCTTCGTCTTCCAGCTTAACCTCAAATTCACGAAAAATCAAGGCCGATTGGTGTGGTCCTTTGGTTGTCCATCAGGTACTCGATCGAACCCATTACGTTCTTGCCACATTGGATGGCAGGGTGCTTCCGGATGTCTATTCTATTAATAGACTAAAGCCATGTTTTGTACGGTCACCTAATTTTCAAACTAAAATTACCCATATTGATCAACTGCAAAAGGAGCTGGGTAATGTTCCAGCCAATAATGCTCATACCCTTACTGAAATTAATCCTTTATGTTTAATTACTGATGAGAATGATATTGTATTACATTCATTCAATGAGACTGTAATCCCTTATAATAGGATCACAAAACCAGTTAATTTACACCAGTATGTACATAATAGTGGTGATAACCATCATCTTGCTACTGTTGGGACTTTGTCTAATTATCAGTTCACTAAACAATGTCACGTTTTACAAAATGTTTCTAATGTGTCTACCATGGAGTTAAAGAAAGCACGGTTCAAGTGTGGTTCCCTACAAGTTTTAGTTACCATACCGCATACCGAGGCAAGTCATAAGTCTTCTTGGGTCCCTGTAAATTCTTGCCCTACATTATTTGCCATTGTCAATAACCTTGTTCATGATAATAAGCTCCAAGTTACAGGTAGCATTAGTAAATATCGATTGATTAACATGTAATACTGTTATTGTAGTGTTCATTCAGAAACCCAGCTGTATATCAACCTAAACACTGTAGATATCTACAACATGTGTTTTAGTACACTAATGGGGTTCGGAGCATTGTGAATGTTCACTTTAATAGCTTCCATATCGTATATGTAAATATATTGTTTGAGTTATAATATGTACCATAGTTTTAGTTTTGCTTTTCTTAAAATCATAGTTTAATCATAGTTCACAGTTTGTCCAACCAGTTGTACTTTGACTTCAAAAACTGCGTTTTTGATTTCAGTCGGGGGGATGTTGTATAGCCATATATTATTATTGTGGTCTGTATCCTGCTACTAAGGATACATGATTTATCTCCCTTACATATTGCCTGTTGTAAGACTGGATAACTTGTATGTTTAGGAGTGAGCTCCCCTGAGAGGAAGTGAATAAACATGTGCCTAGTAAAGAAGTCTTTTGTTTCTATAATTGTGTTCCAATGAAAATATATGAATACGTGTGGGTTTGACAATACACAACAGTAAGACCATTCGGCTACCCAACACCCCCTCAGTGGTTTAAGAACCAATCTTCTACAGGACTGTTTCTCATACCAGATGCCAAAAATTTTGTTATTCTGTTATTTAAGCAATTTAATGTGAAGGCTTGTTTTGTTTTTTTGTCTTATAAAATATTTTATTTTTTCCAGTATTATTATGTTGGATGAGGCACATGAAAGATCTTTAAATACTGATGTTATTATGGGATTGTTAAGGAAGGTAGGTTAAATACTGATGTTTTTATGGGATTGTTAAAGGAAGGTAGGTTTAAATACTGATGTTATAGGATTGTTAAAGGAAGGTAGTTTTTCATATTTAAATATCACTGTCCTAATTATGATATATTATTGTTATAAAGGCAATCATGAAATAATAGTCTTGATGGACCAATTGAAAAATCTTTGATATACAGATGTTATTATGAGATAACTAAGACCACACTTCCAAACAAAAAAAGGGAAATATTATTCAGCATGTATTAAGATACAAGTAAATTATTATCATTCTTGTTTTTCTAGATACAGAAAAAAAGACAAGATCTAAGACTGATTGTTACATCAGCAACACTTAATGCAGAGGTGAGTTGTTTATTTTAGCTGCCTACTACTCCTATGTTGTGGCTATTATTATTGCTGCCTACTCGTCTTATGTTTTAGCTATTATTATTGCTGCCTACTACTCCTATGTTGTGGGTATTATTATTGTTGCCTACTAGTCTTATGTTGTGGCTATTATTATTGCTGCCTACTCATCTTATGTTGTAGCTATTATTATTGCTGCCTACTACTCCCTATGTTGCGGCTATTATTATTGCTGCCTACTCGACTTATGTTGTGGCTTGTTGCCTACTAGTCTTATGTTGTGGCTATTATTATTGCTGCCTGCTCGTCTTATGTTGTAGCTATTATTATTGCTGCCTACTACTACTCCTATGTTGTGGCTATTATTTAATTATTTAATATTATTGTTTGTTTATTTGTAGGAAATACAAGAATTTTTTAATACTAATGAAACAAATAATCCTGAGTAAGTAAAGTTTTATGTTAAAATATTTTGAAGATAAAGAACAAGTGAATTATAGAAAAAAAACAGTGAACTAAAATTGTCTTAAGGGATGTTAATTTACATGATTTAATGTATCAGTATTTGTTTGGATTAACCTATATATCAACCAGGGAATACCCTGAGAATCTATAACAGTGATAATCGTCACAGGAAGGACTTGTGTGTTCTTATTTCTCTCCAGTTAATATCACATTTGAAATTATTTTGATCTATCTTAAATGACGGCATTGTTTTCATGTAATTGCGTGTGTGAAGTTAAGAGTTTCCAGTTCAGACTAAACTCTGTTATTATTGATGTGAATATGGATATAAAATAATACATACATGTACTTCTATATTTGGGTCCAATTTCCATGGTAAAGACTTGTATCTGTTTCTACATTTTTGCAAATATAATGAATATATGGTTAAAATCGATCATCGGATATGTCCATTCAATTTATCTTTTATATGCAATTCTTTAGATTTATAATTAATTTCGAAAACTTTGTCGATACTTAGCCCTAATAACAATCAATATTTTTGTTATCAGGAATGATACAGCAGCTATTTTAACTATTGAAGGTAGAGAATATCCTGTAGATATACATTATACTATTGAGTAAGTTTTATTTATACTTTAAGTTATTGTAAATAGCCGGGGGAAGGGGTGGGGGCTGAATGGTTAACACTTGCAAATTACACCATACGGTCTGGCATTGAGTCAAGTGGTGTGGTTTTGATTCTCAGCTTGTAAGTGACAAAGAGTAGGGTTGCCTATCCAACCTCGTGGGTTTTCTCCACGTTCTCGATTTCCTTCCAACTGCTAAAGACCCCTACATGGTAGTCCCGAAATGACCTAGTTTGTGTCAAGTTGACGTTAAACTCCATTTCTTTCTCTATCATAAATAGTTCTGTTGATATACATGATATTATTGAGTAAGTATTATTCCTAGTTATTATAAATAGTTCTGTTAATACTAGTATAAGTTATTATGAATAATATAATCTTTTCATAATCCTTATAAGACATATAGCATCTAAAAGTACTTGTAGAATAGAAAAATCACAATAACAGCAACAGTAGAAATCTGTGATAATTTGTGTTTGATATACTGAAACTCAAAAAAAAAAAAAAAATCGCACCACTTTTATAAATGGTTGTTTGAAAATCTCTTGAGATATAAACTTTAATCTTTCAATTTTGAACATACATCAGATCACAACGATAACACGTTAGATTGATCACGTAATCGCACCACAACTCAGTTCATTTCATTCAAATACAAAACATTTGACATAATGGGAATGTTGATAAACATTTTATGGGGGTATAACATATGGCTTTTCAATAGTTAGGGTCAAAGCAAAAACGGTATGCCAAAGTCGGCTAAGGCCTGGACAGCAGCATATGACAACACCTCAACAAGACACCCACATTAACCGACAACATCTGCAGAATAACACGCCGCCAGCTTCCCATACTGTGGGTACTGTGAGGGGCCCACATGCGGTCATTAGTGTTAACACTTGTTGTCGATGACTACACTCTGGTATAATTTAAAAGATATATGTCTATATTTTTTTATTATTAGTCCCGTTCCAAATTATTTAAAGTCATCAGTAGAAACAGTCATGAAAATCCATCTTACAGAGAAACCTGGAGATGTATTAGTTTTTCTTACAGGACAGGTAAAAAATATTTACAATAAACTTCTAATCATTCTTAAAATAGATCTTTAAGAAAACTAAAATACTTGCCACATGTAATTTGATTTATTTATATATTATTTCTATTCCTAAATTGTTAATTTTTAGCATTTTCCGAAATTATATCTGGATTATCGGTGTTGGTAATTTTTTTGACATTCTATCTTATGACTTTATCTGGCAGACTATGATCTTCACGAAATGCTATTAAACAGACAACCACCATCAAGACCAGTTGCATCATTTCTGTTGTGTTTTCCTTATATTCATTGCTAATTTGTTCTGTATTGTATTTATCATTACATGTCCGGGATTGTACAGTTCAGAGGACGCTTACATCTGGCCCCTTAGATCCATTTATTTGATTTTGATTTAAACGGTTGTTAATTACTTTGTGTAGTTTGTGGCCATCCTGCACTTACTATTATGACTTCATACAATAAGTTTGAAAAGATATGTTGACTACGTTTGAAATTATTTCTAAAATTATTTTAGGATGAAGTACAAAGAGTTGTTGATATGTTAATGTAAGTAGAGTTATTTCCCTTTATATACTTCTTTCTTTTATTGATATACAAGATCCAATAGTTATAGACCAGGGGCCCCACATATACCCTGGCTCCCCCTCACCTCTAGCAGAAGATTATTATTTTTGGGAAGAATGAAGAATGTGCCTGTTTGTGTCATCAACACAAATGCATTACCCAGTAAGCATCACAACATCTACATGATGTTGATTAAATGTTAATTTGTGATGTTAAGAAAAAGGTGAAATATGGGTATATACATGTAAGATGGAACAATGAGTAGTTCAAAATTAATACAACATTACAATTCCAATATTGATTAAATGTTAAATCATGATGTTGAGAAAATTGTGAATTATGGGTGTATATGTAAGTTGAAACAACACGTGTAGTTCAACATTTAAACAACATTACCATTGAAGAGTCCAGGGGAAGAACGATCTAAGTCTCATTTTTGTCTTTTCGCATAAACGGCATAAAACAGACTTTTGGACGTGAATGCTTGACGCAAACAGAACAACGAGTGGGTTTAATTACAACTCAAATGATGTTGAATACGAATCATAATTACCAGTACAACAACTGACTTCCACTTTTCAGGCAAATTAAGGTCAAATAAAGGGTACAATGGATGTATTTGTCCGGGAGGCCATTTCAGAAGGGCCTTGGTTCGATTTGACTCTGATCAGTTTTACCTGAAATTGATCGCTCTTCCCCTGGGCTCTTCAATACCAATATTGCTTAAATGTTAGAATTTCAAAAGTTTACTTAAAATGAAACATTGAATCAATGTGATTTTGATAAACAGACTTTTGGACGAGAATGCTTGACGCGAACAGAACAGCGAGTTGGTTTAATTTCAACTCAAAATGATGTTTAATACGAATCATTGATTCAGTGATACTAACCATCTTCAAGCAAGCTTGATTGCGAGATAATACAACCTTCCGCTGGAATGTCAAAATAGGTTTTTATACCTTTAGGAAAATATTTACAATTTGATTAATGTATGATGAATAACAATACACTTTATAGATGTTATAAATAATGGAAATGAGATATACATGACATGTAATATACCAAAATTTACAAAACGTGATTCTCAATATCATGGTAAATGAATTGAAATGAATAATACAACATGGTAATTATTAGGAATGATTATGTATGTATATGATTAATTATCGTTGCCATGGAATAATGAAAATAAAATAAATCGGGTTCACCACATGTGACATTGAATCAACATGGCTTTCTCAAGAGTGTTAAGCCAATACTTTTTCGCTGGTGTTACTTGTGACTAGAAGCAGCAATCAGTGCTCCTAGCCTTACATTGAATAAATATTACATTGTCAACATTGAGAATAATGGTTACACTAACAAAGTAACAAGATTGATTCAATGTGTATAAATCAACTTCAGTTGAAATGTTGGAGTTTAGGTCGAAATAAAACCTGAAAACAATGTTCACAGTTTCTACCAAAAAAAAAAAAAAATTGGACTGATGTAGCTTTGTGGTTGAATTATTATATATTAATTTTAATATTTTACAACAAATCAGCATAACAAAATTGGATCAATGTTTTCAGTTCAACAATCACACACAGAACCAAGATGAAAAAGTTGAAATGATGACATAAATATGACATTGTTTCGCTATAGAAGCTTGATTATTGAAATGATAACAATAAATATGACATTGTTTCACTATAGAAGCCTGAGGATAGAAATGATAATATAAATAATATATATACCATTGGCTGTATGAGAAAATTCTATTTTAATCGACTAATACCTGAAAGAAAAAAATAACAGGATTTATAAGAATGGTAACACTTATGTTCTGTTTTGATATCGGAAATTAGCATTACTAGGTGATATCAAGAGACAGCCTTGACTGTCAACAGTATGGCGCCATTTAGTGCCATAAACACCCTTACCCTAATGTCTTGACTTAAACAATGTTGTCAAATTATTGAATAATTCTGATGAAGGAAATTGATACTCCACGAGTTCAGGATAATATTGATATATCCGACCTTTGTGATTATGTCAGAGATTCCAGTGTATCATAAATAGAATAAGATGTTAGCAAACTACAATGCAAGAAATTTGGAGAGTTGTTGTCAATAGGCAGAATGAAAGGCCGACATTGTTTTAATAATATCAGGATTTATAATAAAACTATTTTCTAAAAGATGGGTTTTCAATGTTGGCTTGAATATTTCAATAGATTTGGATTGTCTAATCTTAATTGGTTACTGGTTCCAGAGATAGGGGCTGAAAATGCACAAATTCTTTCAACAGGTATAATTAGATGATTTTACTGTTGAATTTGGTCTAGTATGCAATACTGACAATTACGTCATGAACCAGTCAAATCTTTTGATAAATCCACTGAGTCGACAAGTTTTACCAATAATAAATCTCGCTGGCAGAATTTGACAAAATAAGCACAAATTTTGAATACCATGAGAACTATGGAAACATACTTTGTGATTAGATTTATGGACTCCCAAATTATATAAGGGCTTTTATTTAATTATTAAAACTGAACTCCCATTTAATTATTAAAACTGAACTTACCTGGTCAAATGACCATTAATCAAATTTGGAAAACAGTGTTTTTATCTTGGTTTGTAATATTTAATTGGGAATGGCAGGTAGCTGGTAGCCCAGATTTCTCTCATGAAGCTATTAGTTTCGTTAAGTAGCGATAAGCAATTTGATTAATCATGACTTTGGAACATAACAACTCTGCTTTAAATTGAAATAGAATGTTTCATCTTAGTGTAGATGTTCATTAGGAGAATGTCTTGACTGAGTTCAATCAGTTCAATGATTAACATAAGCTATTTCATTGGTTGATGCTTTGGGACATGATACCTTTGATTCTAAATGATGGAAAGTGATGAAATTTGAGCAAAACCTTGTCTGAGTTTGATCATGAACATTTTCTGCTTAGACTAAGTATAGATAATCAGTTTGATTGCGCGATACTTTTCAAAAAGATTAATGTGCAATTAATTAAAATGTCATCTATTTATTTTGGGATCGCGTCGTGGGACATCAGTCTCACTGTTGGCTTGTTATTCTTATATTTATGCAAGTATTTACTTCTGTATTTCTGAGTTTAGCATTTAATAAAGCAGGGTTCGACCTTATTTCCCCAGCAAAGATTGTAAAACTAGGAACCATACTGACATGTATACGATTGTATCGGTTTGCGAACTCATATATTATACTATTCAAAAAAAGTAGGGGATATTTGATTTTGGGGGCATAATACTAAAATATGCAAATGACTACGAAAAAAGTCACTATAGAACCTAACAGAAGAAACATTTCCAGTTACATGTGACGCCCAAACGCACCAATAGCTACCGCATGGAATGCAGGTGATGCTTGGGATCATCATGGGGGTCCAACCCAAGATTTGCACGACTCTGACTTTGAATGTTACAGTCATTGTGGCATTGAATTCCAGGGTGGAAACATCAGTTTAATTGTTTTAGTGACCAGAAAACAAATTTTGATATGCGTCGGCTTACCCAAAATGAAAGGTTACATGCCCTTGGCATGCTACAGATCGGCACAACACAGGCGGTTGTGGCGCGGACGATGAATGTTTCTCAGTCTGTCATAAGCAGGCTATGGTCCAGATACCGTGATACACAATCTGTACAGGACAGACCACGCTCAGGTCGACCAAGGGCGACAACTCAAGCCCAGGATCGATTTATCCATACCTTGGCCTTGAGAAATCGTGTCATCGCAGCAAATCAGATCAGCGCTCGTCTTCAAACAGACACTGGTGTAAGAGTGAGTGGCCAGACGATTCAGAATCGACTGCATAGGGGTCACCTTCGCGCCCGACGTCCTTGCGTGATCCCTTGTTTGAGAGATCATCACATTCAGGCAAGACGTCGTTGGTGTAGGGATCGTCAACACTGGGATAATCGACGCTGGAGCAATGTGATGTTTTCAGATGAGTCAAGGTTCACTGTTGATTTTTTGGACAGACGTAGGAGGGTGTGGCGTCGTCGAAACGAGCGCTTCCAAGACGTTAACGTCATCAGACATGATCGATTTGGGGGTGGTTCTGTTATGGTGTGGGGAGGCATCACTGTTGCTGGAAGAACGGCTTTACATGTTGTTGCAGGGCGTGTTACAGGCCAGTACTACCGGGACAACATCTTGGCAGTCCATGTTGTGCCGTTCGCACGACGTCATGGCCGCCGTTTCATCTTCCAGGATGACAACGCAAGATGTCACAGGGCCAGGATCGTTACAGGTTACCTCCAACAACAGAACATCACCACATTACCTTGGCCAGCACTGAGTCCCGACCTCTCTCCCATCGAGCATGTCTGGGACATGCTTGGACAGAGGTTACGTCAACGTCAACAACGTCCTGCCAATGTCCAAGAACTTGCTGCTGCGTTGCAACAGGAATGGGATAATCTGGACCAAAATGACCTTAGACGTCTCATTAGGAGTATGCCACGTCGGATCAATGCTTGTTTGGCAAACAGAGGAGGATTTACCCGTTACTGACTTGGTTGTGATGCTGTGGTAACTTTGCTGTTTGACCCCGGGTATCATTTTACCCTTATAATGTTCAGTCTGTGTCTTACTTAGTCTAACGATCATTTGGAATAAATCGATGAATGTGAACTTCATTTCATTTTGTCATTTGCTACTTCGTCAGTTTCATTAGGTGACTTTAATAACACTTAAAAATCAAATATCCCCTACTTTTTTTGAATAGTATACTATGAGTGATCTGTATTAATCAAATTACATGTTTAACATTCATCCAAGGACAGTAACCTGGATATCATTTAATCTTGTGTATTTAGCACTAATTTCTTTCGTATTCATTAAATATCTAATCTTTCTTTAAAAACTGGTAAACATCATTTAAAATCACTCAAAATCATCTAATTGTACTTGTGTCCAGTTTAAAGCTGACTGATTAATTTTGATAATGAGTGTCCAATTTACAAGTGTTTAATTTGGTGTATTCCCATGACGGTGCCGTTACAGAGCGTGACCGAAATGAAACTATCCCACGGAGGCGCAGATATGGAATTGTCGGCTTTCGTATGAAGAGAGGCATGTTGTTATTAGGACCCAATTAATTGTGCTAGAGATTTTATGAATTTATGTTCACTCTGAATTTTATTCACCATTTGGCAACTAATGATGAATATCATCAAATCATCCAAGTAGTGTTCACTCTGAATTTTATTCACCAATTGGCAACTAATGATGAAAATCATCAAATCATCCAAGTATTCAATATGAATCTTAATCACCATATGGCAACTAATGATGAATATCATCATATCATCCAAGTAGTGTTCACGTATTCGCTCACTCTCAATGAGATCCCAAAATAACTGAATTTTCCGACTACGTAAGAAACTAATGGGCGAGGGTGAATATGCTACTCATCATTGGAACCACTACCACACAGGGGAATACAAAACCAACAACACCCTGGAAGAATGGCATTCAAGGATCAAGAAGCTAGTTGTTAAAGCTCATCCGAATGTTTTTGAAATGATCACATTTTTACAAGAGCAAAATATTAATGAAATTAGAATCGTACAGTATGTCGGGGGACAGAAACCACCAAGGAAGAGATATAAATATGCCCAAATCCAAAGCCAGCTCCAGGAATTAATAAGTAGACACGAAGAAGAGGAATTAACTTTAGTATACTGGTCACAATTCTATGGAATACAATTACTGCTTATTACTGAGCGACATTTCAGCTAGGCTTCTCTAGTCATTATCAAACAATGATAAACATGGCTCAGTAATAAGCAGTAATTGTATTCCATAGAATTGTGACCTGTATACTCCTGTTCCATTACTAAATGCCATTGAAACGAATTCACTTTAGTCGAGTATTTAGACAGGGTGTCTTATTTGGAGAAATTAAATTAATTTGTTTTTATTTCTTAAGCCATATGCCAAACATATTAAAATGTTAGTTAATTAGTCACATTGGCGATTATGAAAGTGTAAATTCTTATAAAAATCTATAACTCCAATATTACATTTTAAATCCATTTTAATCTGGATTCCCACGAAAATGGCCTCCTTTAATCTGTTACGGTCAATAACTGCGGTTCAAAAATTAATCAATTGGGTTCTTTATTTTTTAACAGGGATTGAGAAATTAAACACTTGCAAATTGGACACTCATTATCAAAATTGAATGGTTACCTTTAAACTGGACACAAGTACAAATTAGATGATTTTAGATGATTATTACAAATTTTAAAATGAAGATTTAATATTGAATGAATGTGAAAGAAACTAGAACTAAATACACAAGATTATATGATACCCAGGTAAAAAAAGACATCAGACAAAATCCAAAGAGTGAATTTCAAGGAATAATTACATATATTGTCTCAACATTAACACTGTTTACTGGATTACTGTTAGAAAATATTGAAAAAAAGGTATTATAGACACTTAGAAAGAATTTTAATGAATACATCAGTCATTTCCACAATAATTTGGCCACTACCAACCATTGGATTCATGGTTTCTTGAATTAATTTCACTCGGGGAAATTAAACAATGAAACTATTAAGATAGTAGTAGGAAAATATGAGCAAGATCTGTAAAATCAAGCCACATAATAATTCTATGAAAGTCTGTAGTTCTCTGTGGATGAGCATAGTGTATTTGTGAATGAATGATGACGTGATCACACACAGATTAAGTAACATATTATTTATAAACTATTAACCATTTGGATGGAAAGCCAAGCATTTAATGTGAGCATAAAATATGAGGGCTAGCTGAAAAGTTCTGAGCCTGAAAAGGATAGATCAATTGGGTTGAAACAAACTTTTGCCACCAATAATTGAAATCTCTAAAACATCTCATCCGCGTATCTCCTCATTTCTGTCATTTAAATTACTAGTACAATGCGTTAATCATTGTATCGATATGATATGATTTTAAATTGAAATATACTCTTTGAAAAAAAGAAACGCATAGTGACATTTCTTCGTCGGTATACCCTTGCTCTACCATCGCTTGGGCGGTTTCGTGTTGAACTTCGCTGTCGGCGCCTACCCCAAAGGCGAGAAATGGTACTCTGTAAAACATTCAGCAGTCTGGCTACATCTGTCTGGGATTCACCTGCTTGTAACCGACCAATAGCATTGTTGCGTTGGTCTTCATTCAGATGTGGCATCACTTTGCTCGTTACTTGTTTACATGTGCAACTGATTTTGAAACCGAGACACACACCCCCCCCCACAAATTTTAAAGGACTTAGATTTGGGTTTCATGTGAAAAGCTTGCGAAGCTATTAACTTCATGTGTATTGGTGCAATGAAGTGAAAATAAATTTCAGCAAAAAATATGACCAATCACAATTAGGGACCCTACATTTAAAACCAATAATGAATTTCTTTTATCCTTACATAATGACATTAAAAACAAGTAAGATTTATGGAATGTGAATCCCGTTCACATTAAAAAATGATGAAAAATGAGCTGTGCATTTCTTTTATTGAAGAGTATATTTATAGAGAGAGAGAAATGGGGTTTAATGTCCACTCGACACAAACTAGGTCATTTCGGGACTAACATATGGTTTTTAATTTTATTTCAATAATTCGCTTGCGCGTAGGGGTCTTTAGCAGTGGGAGGAAACCGGAGGACCCGGAGAAAACCCACAAGGTTGGACAGGCGACCCTACTCCTTGTCACGTACAACCGGGGATTCGAAGTATATTTATAGAGAGAGAGAAATGGGGTTTAATGTCCACTCGACACAAACTAGGTCATTTCGGGACTAACATATGGTTTAATTTTATTTACATAATTCGCTTGCGCGTAGGGGTCTTTAGCAGTGGGAGGAAACTGGAGGACCCGGAGAAAACCCACGAGGTTGGACAGGCGACCCTACTCCTTGCCACGTACAACCGGGGATTCGAAACCACGCCAGTCGACTCAATGACAGACTTTATGGTACAGCGCGCGCACGCTAACCATTCAGCCATCCACCCCCCCAAGTATATTTATAAATCGTGTGTGTTTTATTTTAGAGAAGAAGCTAGAAAATTGCCAAAAGATAAACAGAAGTTACAAATATTACCAATGTATGGTAGTTTACCAGCTTCAGAACAGGTTATTATCTTTATCTGTGACTTGACTATTGTTCTCTTCTGGCTTCATTCAAAATATATCTATATGATAGCTAGAACAGTAAATTTGACAAGAAAATCCACTTTATATCTAATGGGATAAAATCATGTCACAATGTCCTGATACTCTATTTCTGATATGGTTATTCGCCATAAACATTTCCCTGACATAATGTCATTCTAAATTTATAAGGATCACCGGATATATACATATATAATTGGCTAAACATTATCATTGATATGGTAATCTTCTTTAAATATAGTTCTAATATGAATTAGATACCCATATTTCAGTGTGGGTATAATTTGTTAACAACTTTGTGCACTCTTCAATAATTGACTTGTAAATGCACCCTGTAACCTTCTGCTCTGGAGTCCCCCAACCTTTAATTGAGAGGACACACCCTATTGATATTCCGCTTTCTCTGACTTTCCATTCTGGAACAACCCTGCTCCCCCCTCTTTTTTTGGAGACCTGATAGGACTGTGAGAGGATGAACCCTACTGATTTTCAAATTTGGTGTGCAGCATTATATATGAACATAGGGGATATGAACCCTATTGATTTTCAACATCCTAGGACTTTCTGTTTTAGTGACATATATGGCCCCAAAATCTTGTGAACATGATAGAGATCAGATTTCTTGAAGGCCTAATATAGGATCCTTATCAAATTTTGTTAACATCCAAGTTTTCATTTTGGATAAATTGTTGTCTATGTAAAGAAAGGAGTTTCAAATAATATTGATTAAAAACATTTTAAAAGTTGACAGGACGTTGAAAGGAAAGATTTGATCATCGGTACAAAACACTGCTGCCCGGATAATTACAAAAACTCCGAAGTCTGCTCACATCAAACCTGTTCTAAAGTCACTACACTGGCTCCCGATTGAATTCCGCATAAACTTCAAAATTCTTTGCATGGTCTATAAATGCATGAATAATGCTGCCCCAGACTATCTCGCTGATCTCATAAAACAGCAAGATTCTGAACGCCGTACACGATCATCAAGCAAAGATCTCCTAAAATTGCCAACATCAAACCTAGTTACCTATGGTGATCAAATGTTTTGTATTGCTGCTCCAACTTTGGGGAATGAGAAACACTTGAACACTTCCATCAAAAGTGCCAAAACATTACTTGACTTTAGAAAAAAGTTAAAAAAAACACCTTTTTCAACATGCGTATCCAGAGTTACATTAGAAGCGCTTAGAGCACGCCTCGGCATGGAATAGACGCTATATGAATGACTTTATTATTATTATTATTTGGCAGTCTATATTGTGTTGATGTGCAGCACTTGTTGACTTTAAGTTTATTTTATAAGATATATATGATGTAAATGAATTTTTTTTATGAAATTGATCTCTATTTAGCTACACATAGATGTTTATTAAGTATCAAGATTTGTAATATTTTTCACGTGAAATAGCAAATAAATTTTCTTATACTAATAATTACTTGAAATAAGATGAAAGTTTTTAGAGTAAGATTTGCAGCATTAATACTGGTATATTGATATCAAATGAAATATAATTCATATAAAAACATTAATAAAAATTACTTATATTTTTTTTTTTTTTTTAAAAAGGCTTTTCCTACTATTAATTTTCTTTTATCCGTTATAATTATCCATAACTGTAATTACATTTCTTTTCAATTTAAAATTAGATGAGAGTTTTTAGCAGAACACCTCAGAATACAAGAAAAGTGGTTGTTGCTACAAATATTGCTGAAACATCTATTACAATTAATGGCATTGTATACAGTGAGAATTCTTTATTACCTTCTCTATACTTTTAAAGTGGAGTTAACTCTTGCTTACGATATTGTGTAACATTTAAAATGAATGTCTCTCAGGCCAATCGAAATGAAATTCATATTATTATGTGGCGGTGACTGTCAGCATGGTGGATTTCTTTATAATCTTCTCTTGCTTATAATATTCTGTAACGTTGGCATTTCAAGAAAAAAAAAATATCTCACACAGCATCACAAGTCAAAATTTTTATACTAAGGAACACATATTTGGCAAGTTAGTATAGAGTCTGAAGCCTCCTTACACCGCTGTCAAGAGCGGGGTGGGTGGTCTAGTGGTTTAACGCATGCACGTAGAAACACAAGGGCTGTATTTGAGTCAAGCAGCGTGGTTTCGAATCCCTGCTTGAATGTGACAAGGAGTATGGTCGGCTGTCCAACCTCGCGGGTTTTCACTGTGTCCTCCGGTTTCGTCCCACTGCTAAAGATCGCTACACATAAGCGAATTATTGAAAAAAATAAAATAAACCATATGTTAGTCCCGAAATGACCTGGGCCCTGTTTCTCGAAATCTTAACGAAAGATAAAATCCAAATTTTAGTGAATACTTCAATTTTGATTGGCTAAGCACTAAAATCAACCTAATATTATCCAATTAAATTACTAAAATTTCGTGAAACAGGCCCCAGGTTTGTGTCAAGTGGATGTTAAATCCTCTCTCTCTCTCTCTGATGAGTCTAAGGATCTGTAGTGCTTAGTTCATAACACTTTTCTTTTTATCACTGTCAGTAGAGTTTGGTAAAATAGCTATGGCCTGGGTATTTTGTTAAATATTTTTAAATTTCAAATTTTTATTAGTCGATAAAAGAATCTTTTACAAAGGTAAGTTTGAATTAATGGATAAATGTAATTCTATATTTAGGTAAATTTTATTTTTATTTTATAGTTGTCGATTCTGGGTTTGTGAAAATAAAAGCATATAATCCTAAAACTGGTTTAGGTGAGTTTCTTGTCAAATATTTTAAATGGTTTGTAGAATATACCATTACATATTTCACTAGTGGGAGGGATCAAATGGTCTAAATTGTTGTGCATGAACATAAGCTTGTCATGTATGCAATTCTCAGCGTGATACCACAATGCTATCTTAATCTCGTCTGAACTTATGCGGGACTTAGCCTTGGTTATGGCATGGTGTGCTTACATGATACAATGAAAGAATAAGAGATCTGAAATTACTGATGTGCTTGGTGTAATAAGTGCCCACAATTGTTTTTTCAATACCTACCCCAACCTTTTTGGGGCCCACTGCCGCTCTCATAAGTCTGCCCAATAGTTCTGTGTCTTTGTTAATTTTAAGTAGTTAAGCATGTATTGTGTTGTGCTGTCACGTTTAAGTAAAATGGTAAATGTTATATCTTTTAATACCAATTTAACCTTCAAATTGATTGAAATGTGACATGAGATAATCCCCCAGATGTGTAAAGAATTGAAGCCCCTGAATGTTTATACCATCAAATACATTAGTTGGTGTTCAATAGCAATTAATTCCTAATTCTATCTCTCACATAAAGAATTTTCATATTTCTTTCCTTTTTGTAGAATCTTTAGAAGTGTAAAGAATTGAAGCCCCTGGAAGTTTTATATACCATCAAATACATTAGTTGGTGTTCAGTCATTGATTCCCAATTCTATCTCTCACATAAATATTTTCATATTTATTTCCTTTTTGTAGAATCTTTAGTTATCGTACCTGTATCTCAAGCTTCAGCAAATCAGAGAGCAGGCAGAGCAGGTCGAGTTAGAGCAGGAAAAGCTTATCGTCTTTACACAGGTGCCTAACATTTTATCAGTATGATGTCCATTAAGAAATATTGTTGTTCAATTTAAAGATACATTATGTAAGAATTAGATAAAAAGCTGACTGTTCTTGCTATAATAGTTCAAAAATAGATAATGAAAAATGAATATGAAAATTTCAGTTAAAGGAGGCAAGTTGCTAACTCACTATCATCTAGATTTTTCGACATTGAAAACTTGACTTATTGGTCAATTTAACTCGTTAACTGACCCAAGGCGACTTTTGTCGACACCTATAACGTTACCGTTAAGTACCCACAGCGACTTTTGTCGACAAAACCGGTTAGCCGAATGCAACGTTCCTAGCGTAATGAGAGTTATTTCCCTTATGAACAGACGACTTTATCTCATTTGTTTACTTCCTGTTTGACATTTTGACAGTTAAAAATCTCACTGTTTCTCCTTGAAAAATTATAATAAAACGGTGATATGTCTAGACCTATTCGGCAACGTTCACCTAATGACGGATTACCATCCTTATTTTTTGAATGACAGTGATTCAGATTTTATCTGTAGTGTAGATTTTTTACAGTTTTGCGTTAGGCCTAGAACGTGATAGAAGTAGGCTTAGTTAATCAACAAATTTCTATTACGGTACTTAAATAAGCTTAAATTAAAAGAGATTCATGATGAATAATTTTTAGTTCACAACAGCCGAACAAAAAAAAAAAATAGAAATAACCATTATATACATGGATTTTGCATGAAATGTCTAAATTAATTTTTTGTATAAATTTATATTTATGAAAATGGCATTAAATTTAGATTATTTCATCCATTTACATTAAGGGTCTATCTACAGTTGTTTATTAATGATATGACTTTAAAATGCATATCTATATTTTAATACTATTGACCATTATGACGTGGGTTTTTATGACGTTATGACGTCAAACCTCTGGGTCGTTTAAGAGTTAAACATTGATGTTGTTATCTTACCTGGAAAAGATGAGCTTTTGATATCCAATATTTAAGCAATAATGAAAATTGGCATGCGAATCGCGTGCCAGGATGATTTCGAGCGCCATTTTTAATGAAGCAACTCGGTTAATGATGCCAAATATACCCCACAGGAGAATGCTACCGGTGTAGACTGGAATAACGCCAAATACTGCCATTGAATTTGATGTCTTCCTGTATTTTGCAGAGCTTAACTGATAGGAAAAGAAATTACAGTAAAAAGAGAAACGATTGAATGTAAATCAGTTTATATACATTCATAATACATTTTTGTATGCGTTGCGACTCATTTGTGTCCATTTCTATTCCCAAGCAATAGCGATTTAGCTCCTTTAAGATGTTTGAAGTTTTGACAAAATGATTCATAATACTTCACAATCGAGACTACATCTCCATTACTACATCTCCATTATCTATTTTATTGCAGAGCAATGGGCAATTTGATTTGTCGAGACTTTGGAGCTCGACAACTTTGAGTCTAGTTGAGCGATAGTGGTGAAACTTTGTGTATAGTTTCATTAAATCAATACCATAACAAAGTTTGATGCTGAGTATTTTCTACTTAGGCTAGAGACTTCAATCTGATGGTTTGAGACGTTGGAACACAATAACTCTCCTTCTAATTGAGGTAGAATGTTCAAACTTCCATCTTATTGGTCAAGACTTTGGAACACAATAACTTTCCTTCTAATTGAGGTAGAATGTTCAAACTTGGTGTAGGTGTCTATTAGGACAATGCCTTGACAGAGTTCTATCATGCGCATTTTCCACTAAGCAGAGATAGAAAGTTGATTATGGGCTTGTCATTTAAATAAATGTTTAAAGGACAGTATTGGTATCAGTCATTATCACATATACCGGTAAGATAGAACTGGTGCTGCACGTTCCAAGTATAATTTTAACACAGAGATCATTGCTACAATAGATGCGTAATGAAGATTAAAAAAAACGGAAGTGACAAAAGCAAAAGGAAAACACGAGTTATCCTTCTATATAATTGGCTGAAGTGACGAATGATAACAGATACACAGTTGAATTTCTGCTCACTAATAATTCCTTTAGAGACCAAAATGTTTTATATAGACTGTTATATGTTATATTTTTGCTCACTAATAATTCCTTCGAAGACCAAAATTTGTTATATGAGATTGTTATATTAACCAGTTCTGTCACATAAGTGATAATGACTGACACCAATAATGTCCTTTAAACACAAAGGCCTTCAATAGGAAGATTGAGCTCTTACATAATGCATCTTTAAAGTTTACATTGTAAATTGATCTTTAATGTAAATATGTCTTCTTTATCTACATTCACTGGAAACCTGTATGGATTAGTTCATATTTATAAATCAGATTTATAAATGGATCAAGAGTAGTTCCAAACAGGGTGGCAACGTGTGCCTGACTGCACCTGAAGGCCATCTCTCCAGTCGTCCTTATTGCAGCTTTAGCCAAGCAAGTGATAAATTTCCTACTCGCGCTTACATTTTCACTTAAGACAGACTAGCTGTTCATTCAAAGCTGTCTTTTCCCGGCATGGCTGCCAGGAGACACTTGTCTGCAGTATCACCCGAGTTTGAAAAGGCTGTAAAGTCATTGGACCCAGGTGTTGTAATACAGCTTATGTAAAGTGTATTAATCCGTTAAGTGCGTAGGACAACTGCCACTCACTGTGTGTACGGCGTAATATACATCCTTAGAAGTATATTCCCCAACCTATTCTTAGAACATATACTCAGCCAAATTAAAAAACTTGACACTCGGGATTTTTGGGGCTAGATTTTTAATATTTGGTTTAAGGCAAGTATTTTAGTGTTATGTTGTGCACAGACGACCTTGACATCAACAGAAAGCAAGAATACGTCTCGCCGAAAGTCCTTCACATTGATAACATTCGTGATGTCACAGTACCCCCCAAAATGAAATTCACAGACTTGGAGAACAATCGGAATAAAGTGTTTAGTAACGGTTGTGGCCTCCTCTAGTGTCTCGTACTGCCACACAACGTCTTCTCATGGATCTCAGAACATTAGTAAACACTACCCGAGGAAGACGTCGCGATTGCTCAGCAAGGGCATGTTGAAGGTCCTGCAACGTCAGTGGTGGATTCATTTGCTGACGAACACGTCGACCCAGTTCGTCCCAGATGTGTTCAATAGGATGACGTGACTTTAAAATTTATTTGACTTACCAGAAAAAAAAATTTGTTGAAATTCATCAGTGTCAAGTTTTTAATTTGGCTGAGTATAGTTTGTCACCTTGGGAATTCCCCAAAGATCACAGCATGAGTATGATGTTATATTAAATTCTGGACAACTGCCACTCACTGTGTGTAGGGCGTAATATAACGCCTTGGAGGTATTTTCCCCAACCTATTCATAGAACATAGTACATAGTTCTTCATCACTTCGTCAAATTAATTACACAATTGGGGGTAGTTAACGTTTTAAAAACGTCACGCTCAACGGGTTAAAATAGGCTATTGTTAGTCACAGGAGGGTTATACAATGTAAATTCTAAAATAAAGTTTGTTAATTTCCAGAAAAGGATTTTGATGCACTTGCGACTACAGCAGTACCAGAAATGCAGCGGTCAGATATGGCACCTGTTGTTTTACAGTTAAAAGCTCTCGGTATTGCTAATATCGTTAGGTTTAACTTTGTGTCGGTAAGACTTTTATTTCATAAACTTCTGTAAGTAGTTAAAACATTGTCATTTGGTTTTTATGCGCCTATATAGAAATGTGGTCATATAGTGTTCTCACCTTAGTGAGACGAAGAAGCCTATTGAATTTTCGTTAATTACTTCAAGGGTTATGACCCTTGTTTCACTTTGTGACATCCATTATATCTTCTAGGTGTAGTCATTTTACAATCTTTAACAAAATTTCTGTATCTTTAATTCTCATGGAAAAATTATTTCAAAATTACGTTTTTAATGTATAAATCTAGATACACATAGATTAAATTACAAATCTAGATAGTCATGGAATAAAATTATAGATCTAGAATGCCGTGAGATAAATCTAGATAACCATGGAATAAACTTCTAAATATAGATAAAGAAGAAAGAAGCTTTGTTAAAACGTCACCAGAACCAATTTTTTGAGTCTGTTACTAAAATGCGCTTTAAAAAAATATCCATAGATTTTTTGTGCCCATAGAGTAAATTGAGATTACACTTTTAAAAATAAATTGATACCAATGAGTAAGTATGCTTACTCTTCTTGAACACCTGATATTAGGGGATTGATTATAGTTTCATGTTCTCCCCTTTTAGGACATTCACAGATTATGGTTCCAAATTTTGTCTATTGTCATATTTTTAATGTTACAGATCTTGGAGGTGTAAAAGATTCTGTATTTTTTAAATAATACCTTTAATTATCACAAAAATAATGTTGATTCAATCGGCTAGACATCTTGGCTGCTTGTTTCCTTTTTCAGCTCCATAAGAACTATATTTATATGTATTAACTCTAATACCATAATAAATTACATTCTCCTAGATATTCCAATGAGGAGGAGGAGTATGGCTTCGAGTGAATTTCAAGCAATTTCAACTTTTACTTAAAGAGGAATTATGCAAGACTTAGAGAAAGCGCTGGCCGTTCTTTTTATAATAGTTCAGACATAGATAATGCAAAATGAATATATTGAAAGCCAGAAAAACATCCTGCGAAAGGCAGATTTAGATCATGAACAATGTCTGTTTAAAAACAGAAGATTTTTGTACATAGTATGATTGTGTAGCATTCATTTGTATATGTCTGCATGGAAATTTGGTCAATTATTGTTGTTGCTTCGTTAGTCCATCTTTCACTATTTTGTGTAAACACTCTTCAGACCGTATTAATCATCCGATCTTTTTAAAATTCATATATATATGCGGCTTACATTAGTCAGGCTATTAAATTTCTAGAGTTATGGGCCTTGTTTCACCTTGTGCAACCTGTGAACATTCTAATAGCAAGAGTTATCAACCGATCTGTACGAAATTGATATGCATTATTTAAATAAGTGACACAAAAGAAGTCTTTCGAATTTCAACAATTTCTGTTAATTACCTCTAGAGTTATGCCCCTTGTTATATAAAATTATATGCATTATTTCTTTTAATTATGATCCTTGTTTCACTTTGTGGAATCTTGTGATCGCTCTAACGACAAAAGTTATTATTCAATCTGTATGAAATATGTGTGCAGTATTTAGATTAGTGAAACAAAGAATCCTACGGAATGTCTTCATTGATATTATACATTCTAAAGATTTTGCCGTGTTTACTGCTCGGACAACATGGATGCTGTGGGCATATGTTTTGTTGCCTGGCAATCTATCTTTTTATGAAATTTGAAAATATGATCTTAAATAAAAGAAATGATGTGATGCTATAGATTTTTTGAACACAGTTGAAGATTTTATTTCATAAATAAAGAGTTATTTTTTTTTAATCTTCAGCCTCCGCCAGCTCAGAATTTAGTAAGAGGATTAGAACTGCTGTTTGCTCTAGGGGGTATGTAATCAAATGACCTGATACTTTAAGTATATTTTGAACTGTTTTCATTTCATTTCATTTACCTTCCAGCACATTTGTCATACAATAATTATATAGAAATCTTATGTTCAGCGACTTCCTTGTTTCCATCATTTCAAAAATACTTATGTTGTTTTGATTGCTGAGGATTCTTAGTACTTTTACCATTTTCTTTGATCTGTAAAGTATGTAAAAATTGTCTGAGAATGTACTTGGAAATTATTTGTAGTGTTAAATTATTTAAAATTGCGTAGAATGAACAACAATGTGATAAGAAATCAATAATAAGTTGGCCTACACACACATTTAAATATGGTCATATATTGTCCACACTCATGTCTGTTCATCCTAGATTCTACAGTTATCATCCAACCAACTTTAGATTTACATATAGGGTTTATATTCATGAAGCAAAGACTTCCAATAATTACATGCATAGTTATTTCCCGTGATCAAGGGAATATTTTGGTGACACACCTGGCCCAGAACTGATTTGAAATTAGAAATTTCTTTGAGACAAAGAAGCATATTTATGATAATCACTTGAAGAGTTATTGACCTTGATGAACAGCTTTATTTTGTTTCCAACAACCTATTTTTATACGCCCACATTTTCATGTGGACGTATATTGTCGTCGCCCTTGTCCGTCCGTCCACAATTTGTTTGTGGACTCTCTACTGGTCACAATTCTTGTCCGATTTTGACGAAACTTGAAATATAGCTTTATCCCAAAAAAATCTAGTCTGCTTTCGATATTGGCATGTATCGGATCGAAACTTCATGGATTATGGCCCCTGTTTGTACGAAAAATCACGTTTTTAGCTTGTGGACCCTATAGAGGTCACAATTTTTATCGGATTTTGTTGAAACTTGAAATGTAAGTTTATAACCCAAAGATCTCAGTTCCTTTCCTGAATTATGGCCCCTGTTTGTATGAAAAATCGCGTTTTTAGCTTGTGGACCCTATAGAAGTCATAATTTTTATCCGATTTAAAAAACCGTATTATGATATCACCGTTACACCCTAAGGACGACTGAGTTCGAATTTCGTGAAAATTGGCCAAAAATTGACAGACAAAATGGCTGCCGTTCGTTCTCAAATAGCTTAAAAATATGGTATATCAAGGTTGTGGACCCTATAAAGGTCACAATTTTCATCCGATTTTGATGAAACTTGAAATACATATTTATAACCCAAAGATCTTGGTTCCTGTCGATATTCGCACATATTGGATTATAACTTCCTGAATTATGGCCCTTGACTGTACGAAAAAATCACTTCTTTTTTTGAGCATGTTCTCTGTTCATATCTTGCAAAATGTGGGCGTATCTTGCATGGCAACCGCTTGTTAAAACTTGTAGTAAAATGTTGACTGAATTTATGGTCAAAATGGTAATTTTGAATATCTGTTTATATGTTTCCATTTCTATCAAAATTTCAGCTTTAGATGAAAATGGTAACCTTACAACACCATTGGGACAGCATATGGCTGAATTTCCTCTCCAACCAATGTTTGCTAAAATGCTGCTTGTTTCTGGTAATGATTCATATCAATAATGTCATGTCATTGTATACTGTCCTGTTTAAATGTATCATCAAAGGGATTTCTTACTAAATGTCTCTAATCCCATTTATGAAAAAAAAAATGAAGCTATGTAATTATTGGACATATTGATTTAGATATATAATGACTGATAACAATACAAGTATTATTAGTAATGTGATTTGGCTGTTCTAATCTTTCAACTTCCGTTCAAAGCAAACATCATCTAGGTTGCCCATGATTTTATATTTTCGGTTAAATCTCTCCATTAAACTGGAAGTTGTCAGAGCTGTTTTCCATGAATCTTTACTGTGTTTGGTGGGTGGGGTTGCTGAATGGTTTAACACATGGACTTTAGATCATCAGGCCTGTCATGGAGTCAAGTGGTGGGGTTTTTATCCCATGCATGTACATGACAAGGAGTTGATTCTCCTGTCCAACCTCAGGGTTATTCTTCAAGTCTCCTTGTTTCCTCCCACTGCTAAAGACCCCTACATGCAAGCGAATTATTGAAATAAAATTAAACTGTATGTTAGTCGCACAATGACCTAGTTTGTGTTGAGTGGACATTGAACCCCATTTATCTCTCTCTCTTTTACTGTTTTTTTTTTGTTTTTTATTTTTTGCAGGAGATTATGAATGTTCAGAGGAAGCATTGACTGTGACAGCGATGACACAAATACAGAATGTTTTTGTTACACCTTCTTCTCAAAAAATAAAAGCAGTAAGAAATTACACTGTCTTGATTTAAACATACAGGTTTTTTTTTATTGTAGCTCATATTGAATCTGTCAACATGCTTGAGAAACTCTGGTTCGAGCCAGGTGATATTTCATATTAGTATAAGTGGTTGACAGTTTATCCTGTGCCACTGTGACTTAGTGAGTAAGGTGCTCCTTCACTAAACACTCTCAGTGTTGGTCAAGAAAGTACCACTGGATTTTTCAGTTTAATTTCCCTTATCAATGTTGCAGGACGATGAGCCTGTCAAGGAACTGTGTCTAGTTATGTGTACAATTTGGCGTGCATGTACAAGAACCGTTTCAAATAAAAGTAGGCCATTGTTTCCCTCATAGCACGCTGCATAGTGTATATCTGTCTTGGTTATAGCGCGGTTGGTGAAGAACAGTAGGACTTTAAACCTTATTTCATTTTATACAAAAGTAGTATGTGAGAGAAAGTCTAGCAGATGTGAAGCTAAACATGAAATATAAATGTCATTTAACAGATGTTAGGCTTGAAATAAAGTAGAGAATAAATAATATCATTGACACCATAACGCTGTAAGTTCACAATTTAGCTGGGGGTAATACTGAATATTATTGTAGCCTTATTTTATTGCCATATTTAGGTTTGGTGGCTGAGTTTTTTAACTTGTGCACTTCCTATTATAAAGTGTATTTTGATTAAAAGTGTGATGGTGTTCATCCTAGACTTGTGCATGATAAGAAATAGGGTCATCTGCCTAACCTTGTGTGAGTTCTTTGGGGTTTTTTTGTGTCGTCCCACTTGTGGAGCCATAGTGGCTAAGACGCTGGCCCGCTAACCTGGAGGTTGTGTGTTCAATCTCTGCATTGGCCAAGAAAGTTCATTGGGATTTTCCGATGTGGTTTCCCCTTGTCAATGGTGCAGGGAAGGAGGGTCTGACATGGACAGCTGTCTAGTCGTTCAGATGGGACGAAAAATCGATGTCCTGTGTATACATTGGCTTGCATGTAAAGGATCCCTTGGCAGTTGGAATTCGATATAAGAGTAGGCCATAGTGGCGCTGTGCGGGCAAAATATCATTCATAGCACATTGTATGGCATATGTCCGTCTTCATTAGCCCAGTCGGAGCAGAATAGTAGGATATTAAACACCCATTTCATTTCATTTTTTCCCACTTTTGAAGACCCTTGCGTGCATGTTAATACATATTCCTGAAGCAATGGCCCGAGAAATCCCTCTCTGGCCATTGCTGGATTGGCTTCTAATACTTGAGCTTTTGAGGGAGTGTGTCTATTCTTCCTGTTCAATCAAATCTATCCAAAGTAAAGCAACATGACAGCCCTTCGTTTAAAATATTGGACAATGATTTAAGGTATTAAAATCAGTGAAAGTATTGTTCATCTCCAAACAGTATTGTTTACATTGTATCCGTGTTGATAGCATCACTCAATTAGTTTTTCTGCAATATTCTGCTATGCACTGGTTAATCGGGTGCAATGAAATTGTGAGTCATGACTAACGTTATGTAAACATAACATTTAAAGTGTAATGATATTGTTATGCAGTTAGCTATTGGTTGTTAATCGGACTGTTGACCTGTTATAATTTAGAACAGAAAGTGTTAAGTGAGATTAGCTCTAATCATGATGTTAATGCGGCCTTTTAGTGGTCTAACTTTTGCACTTCAGAACATAAAGTGTCATGCTTCTCAGCTTGTACATGATAAGGCACTGCATTGTAGAAAAATACTGTGTTAGTAGACATTATTCAACTCTCTTTCTCTCTTTAATTCCTTGATTTTCTGTAGTCGCAAGAGAGAGTCAGTATAACAATAACATTATTCAATCCTTTAACATTCAGGCCAAGAACACCTTTCACCTGTTGTTTCGTTGACTATTAAAATAGTTTCATCTGTCACACTTTTGGGACATAATAATTCTGCTATTAAATTGAGGTAGAATGATCATATAAAATCGTGTGGTTAGAATTCCCAGATTTGCTGTGTTGATGTCATGCACAATTTCCTAGTGTGCTTGTACTTGTTTTTAATTAGTGACTTGAGGAAAAAAAAAATACAAGAAAAGTAATTTGTTATTAAAATACCTTGCTGATGTGGATGCCTGTTTTTAATACTATTTGTAACCAGTTAAGCACATTCCTGTTATCTTTAAAATGGTTTCAAATTTGATTAAAGGTGATATATAAGACTGATATGATATTTATGTTTTATAGGATAAAGCTAGAAGAAAGTTTTCAGTAGAGGAAGGCGATCACATTTCTTTAATAAATGTTTATGAGGCTTTTCTAAAGGTATGCTTTTTTTATGATAGCAACTGACAGTGTAACACAAGATCATTTCATTTTGTTTAGCGCTAATTTCTTTCACATTCAGTGGTGTTAGATGGCCGAATGGTTAGCGCATACACGTTTAATCACAAGGTCTGTCATTGAGTCAACTGGCATGGTTTTGATTCCCTGGTTGTATGTGACAAGTGTAGGGTCGTCTGTCCAACCTCGTGGGTTTACTCCGGGTCCTCTGTTTTCCTCCCACTGCTAAAGACCCCTACGCCATATATTAGTCTCGAAATGACCTACTTTGTGTCGAGTGGATGTGTAAATATATGCAAAGGGTGTGCACTCTCTAGAGGTCTCAATTTTTATCTGTTTTTAATGAAACTTAAAATATATCTTTATATCTCAAAGGTCTCACTCCCTTTCGATATTTGCACAGTTCAGACCATAGCTTACTGGATTATAGCCCCTGATTATACGAAAAAACACTTTTGTTTTTAGCTTCTTCTCTATCCATCTCTTGCAAAATGTGGGCATATTTGGCCTGGCAAGCACTGGTTTTATATGAATCCAGGTATGTGGCGATGAGACAAATGTAGTGTCTTGAAATGTACTATTTATGAGAAGTCATAATTTCATGAAACTTGTATTTTAATTAAAGTTTTCTATATCTTTTGTTAATTTGGAAATAAAATGGGATTACTTATTGATTTCTTTAATTACTCTTTTAAACAGTTTGGTAAGAATTCCAGATGGTGTCATGAATATTTCTTGAATTACAAAGGATTGTGTCGGGCTGTAGAAATAAGAAATCAGTTGAAGAGAATGTTGATGAAATTTAAAATACCTTTGATATCCTGTGGAGGTAGGTTATATTACATAGAAGGAATATTAGACACTTTCAGGACAACTCCTGGAACTTTCAGCCAGTCCTTTAAAAACGGTCGACTGGCGTGGTTTCGAATCCCCGGTTGTACGTGACAAGGAGTAGGGTCGTCTGTCCAACCTTGTGGGTTTTCTCCGGGTCCTCCGGTTTCCTCCCACTGCTAAAGACCCCTATGCGCAAGCGAATTATTGAGATAAAATTAAAACCCTATGTTAGTCCCGAAATGACCTAGTTTGTGTCGAGTGGACGTTAAACCCCATTTCTCTCTCTCTCTCTCCCCTTTAAAAATGTAGATTAGAAACAGGTTACAGTACAATTTTTGTACGACCACAGTGTCCATAGGTTTAACAATTCTCTGTCCCTTTCTTCCAAACTTAATTGATATAGAGACTATAAAGTTCAGGAATAGTTACTATTGGAGTAAAGGTGGTCACTATATTGGATTCAGGGTTTTTGCAAAAGATGACCCAGAGTGATTTCCCCTGACCCCTAATATTCCAATATTCTTACTCATTCTACTGAGTTAATCAGATACTAAAGAATAGTTGGTATCAGGGTAAAGATGGTCTTTAGACACGGGCCACTTTCAGTATGGTTAGTTCCAGGTTGTAAGGATTGTTGTTAAACTACATTGCCGTACACATACTCACTGGGCATAATTCAGTTTGTGAATGATTTTCATCAAACACTTCGGCATGGTTACTACTGGACTGAAGTCATATCCTATCTCATTAAAATTGAAAACCCCAATTTAAAGTAGCTAAGTCTCTAACTCAATATCATCCAAAATCTTCGACATTGAAAACACAATTTATTTGTCGGTTTAAATCAACATTGATGTTGTGATCTTACCGGGAAAAGATGGTCTTCTGATATCCAAGATTTAAGACAAAATAAACATTTTACAATTGGTACACGAATCGTGTACCATAATGCGTTTCAGCGTTATGTGTAATAAGGGACTCGAAAAACGAGACTAGGCATATTCCACAAGTCATGTCAAACGATGACACTATATTCTTATCTGGAGAGTATGCCCAATAAATACTATCAGCGTAGACTGGAATAACCAGAAGCTAGAGATTGAAATTCGATTGAGAATACTGGCATATGTCGCCGAATCTAACTGATTAGAAATTACAGTAAAAACAGAAACGATTGAATGTAAATCAATTTATATACATTCATATTACATTATTGTATGCGTTGCGACCCATTTGTGTCAATTTCTAGGTCCCAAATATTTGTGACTTAGCTCCTTTAATCTAAAATTACATTTATTTCTGTATAATTTTGTATCATTTTGCCATAAAATCAGAAACTTAACAAAAAGATTCCACATACCGAAAATTGATAAGGAAATGTAAAAAAGGAAATTAAAAAAAATATATAGATTTTAGTTTCATATAGAACCCTGTTATGAATTTGAATTTGAAGATTGGCCTATTTTCTGTCCAACCCATTACCTGTTTCATTGTCGGAGGTTACTTAGAGAAGACTTTTGTGAACTCTCTTAAAATAAATAGTAAAATAAACGGAAGTTTAATGTAATATAAGTACAGAAAAGTTAAAATTTTAAATTCTTTTGTGGTGAATAACAGGATGTGAGGACATCATAATTAATCAAGACTAAAGCGGCCCATACACGTTCAATTTTTTCATCAATTAATTGACGAAGAAATTGAACATGTATGGAGGACATCAATGGCAAATTAATTGAAACAATTTAATTGAATCAATTAATTGACAGTTCAAAGTTCCTTTGTTATTTATTGACGGCTCGTCAATTAAATAGACCGTGTGTGATAGTGCCAGAGATGAATGAAAATTGATCGTGTGTGTGGGCAGGGTCAATTTTGCCAATTAATTGATAGCATTTAATCAATTAATTGACGAAAAAATTGAACATGTATGGGCCGCTTAAGAGTAATAAGTAACTTGTTGGATTATATATGAGTGAGATGAAAACTCTTACTAAAGAGCAGAGGACAAAGATGCTGGGTGGTATTTGTTACTTATCCTGGCAAACTATCCTTTTGGAAGTACAGTACTAGATAAATTTTCCCTAAAAGTTATTCTTACCCTCACTTTTTTCTTTCCCATCCTAGAATGATGCATTGGACCTAAAGGCCAAGGTAATTTGCTTAATGATTGATATTTTGATTTTGAAAATTGTTCCCTGGCTTACATCAACAATCCATTGAAGAAAATTTAGAAAAATTATTTTTTATTGACATATGCAAAGTAGAGAAATAAATATTAAATGTCTTGTCAACACATTAAGACTAATATTTGGTCACATGTGCAGCAATGTCGAGTAGAGGAGAATTTTGGCCAGTTGGTGGTGTTTCCACCTACTGTTCATTCCATTACAACTATCAATAGTTCTTTTGTGTATGTATACAGATGAACCTAAGTTAATCATCCCATACATTTGTCAGCCCTTTATGCACTCACTACACCAGGGCTTCCACTTCAAAATTTTCACTGTCGGTCATTTTTGATAACACATGAAAACTTTGCAAAATAAATTCATATTTTATGTTTTTTATTCACGGTAGGGTATTGTGGAGTAAATCCTAATAATGAATAACTAAATAACTAACGGATAATTAACTTCCCATCTAGCGACACTATCTCCCTCTGAAATATCATCTTGTATAATTAGAGTAACCATATATACACTACATTTTTGCAACACATGGAATTATCAATATTGCTACACAATAGCACTTGAATACGCAATTTTCATAATTTTTCGGTAAGCAAGTTATCTAATCTCTAGATTTAATTCTACAATACCCACAAGGCCGTGATACCCCTGTAAAATTGTTATAATGCATTTTCCTCCCAACAGGTACGCTGTAGGATTCTATGCTGTTTTTATTTGATATGACAGTTGGTTAGATTCAAAGAGCAGTACTTCATATCTGATTACCCTTTTTTTGGAAGATCTCGTTTAAATCATGCGTGGCTGTAATGGCGTAAAGCGACTTTGTACTAGAAAATTCTTATGACACGTGGGTGATTAAATAGTGAATGACGAACAATGGACCCCTTCATGCCTTTCATAAGATTCCCATATATCAATTAACTTTTATTGTTCTATTAACAGACAATCATCATTAATTATCAATACAACACTAAGTATAATCTATTGATAACTATGTATACAACTGGTTTAACCTCATTATCCCCACATCTGATTGTTTTGATAAGGGATTAGGAGGTTACTGGACTGTGGGTGTAGGACTATAGTCTGTTCTAATTAATTAGTGTCACTGGTGTAAAATTCCCACACTAATTAAACATACATTATGCAAGAGCTAAATCTGATTATTTAGGCTTCAGATGTCATAGAAATTATATATTTGATCTTTATTTACACAACAAGCACAAAATAAACTCTGTAGACCCAAGGATGGCTTGGATTCGGCTTGGATTTAAACAGGATTTCATTGATTGATTATATTTTTAAATGGCGTCGTAAGCGGAGATTAACCGGTACGTTGACGTCATACTCCCAGAAATTTTCGATCGAGGCTAAATGATAGAGTGTACGAAGCGAGGCCGCTGTTTAGCGAAGCCGCGTGTCAGTCAATTTGATTCAAGGATCGATATATACGGCCTTGATATTATGTTTAGTTGTGGTTAAAATGAGAGTTTGGATGTTGGTATTCTACGCTCTTTTGTCACTTGCGTTTACAGAAAAATTATGGAAATTGATAAACATAGCAGCTAACATCACCCCAGTTAAATTGCAGCCCCATTGGATCACTGTTTCCTATTTGTCTGCTTCGGGAGTTACGTAGGCCTACCAGTTACAGTGCAAGAGTACACGCAGGCTAACAAGAAGTCGGCTTTAATTATGCCTCATTGATTTGGTCCATTCCTTTCAAACTTTCGCTTCTTATCTATATATTAAAAGTCTTATTTTTAATTTGTAGTAAAAATAAATGTGATACGAATTGAATTGCAACCCTGTCTCAAACCGAATAGGCTAACGCTACCACAGCCATTGAAAACGTTACTTGATAATCGAGATTATGTAGGTGGAGTTAACGCCTGTCAATCAAACGATCAGTCATCCTCGGAGACAGTGAAGAGAGAGTTGACTCCTATTTCTAGTAAAAAAATTTAATGGTGATAACTTTGTTCAGAATAAAGTAATTTGACTGAAATTTTAAATTATTCTTCTTACATCGTCTATTTTTTTAACTGTTTCAGCAAGAATGGCCAACTCTCTATTAAAATCTCCCATAATGTATCTTTAATTAGTGTCACTGATGAAAACTTCCCACTATCAGCAGAAAGGCAAATTAGTGAAATCAATTTACTTATAATTTATAAATTTAAATTGTGAGCTGTTTTGATGTAATAATTAATTTGAAATATAAGCAAATAAACTACTGATATTTGACATCCAAAATGGCGAACGCTCTGGTTAACTTGCTAATACCTTGCTAATCTAGAGGTGGTCAGAATTTATTTAGTATTAGATGGTTTTAAATTCAGAGTTAAGATTTGTTTAAAATTCTGGAAATGGTTTAATATAAGAATCGATATTATATGTATTTTTTTACATGTAATCTTTTTCACTAAATATTGTTTAAATCATTTTGTTTAAGTGTCACAAACTTGTTACAGACTATACTTTAAACCCCCTTTGTTAATTAATTAGTCATGGCCTGGTGGACCCAGACTCTAAACAATAGATGTGGGGATAGTGAAGTGTCCCCATACAACTCTATGACATCAATCATGAGAGTATGTGGACTCTATACGTGTGCATTATTCTGTACTGCCCGTACAGTTTTATAGTTACATAGTGGAGGTCGATCCTAGCCATTTTTAAAAATTGGGTATTTTTCCGGGGTGCAAAATGACTGATGGGGCAGATCTAGTTTCGGTCATTTTCTATAGCCCTAGGTCTTGACCGGCATATATACGGCTGATGTGGAACCTATGCACTACACCAC